CACTAGTGTATCAATTACTGTATATTTTTTTTAAGGGCACACAAATTATTAGTCAAATTAAGATCACATAAATTAGCTGCTTTAAGAAAACAGCAGCACCTGTGCAATTTTAAATTATAAATTGTAAGGACATGGGAAATCTAAGGATACATGTAAAAATGTGTGTTGATCTGCACAGTTTTCAAGATATTTGTTAAAGTGTGAGGGCACAGCGTATAAAACACACTATAGCATCATATGTTGAATGCAGTACTGGCATTAAGGGAAAAAAAAAGGACGAGGGGAGTGGGGGGTGTCCTTTACATTATTACATTGAATACACTGTTGACCTGCTCTTGTTTTATTTTAGATCCTGGATGTGTCAAACAATCCACTAGGAGCTCTCCCTTCGGTGATTTCATCTCTGGAAAACCTTTCTGAACTCTATGCGGACAATGTGGGGATCGTGAACTTGACAGTTATTTGCCCACTGAAGAAGCTCACAAAGTTGTCTGTTGGTCAGAACTACATTGATGACATTCCTGACCAGTTTTCTGAACTTCCACTGACTGTCCTTGACATGTCAGGGCTGCCTTTACTGCCAGCAGGGACAACCTTTTCCATACACAGTGTGAACAAACACCTCGACATGTTTACTGTTTACCGAAGAATGACAGCCAAGGTAACTGGAATTTTAAACTATAAAACCTTTTTCAGTGCAGTTTGGTAAGCTGCAGTAGTGCAGTAAGAGTTGAGAGGATCGACTTCCTTGCACTTGGTTTTATCACTTATGACTCAGTCGCTTTCGCAGAGCTCTTCAGCTCCGCCAGCGATTCCCAGGGGTCTTCGTAAAAATTGTGCCTGTGAACTGAATGACTCAACCATGAAACAAACCCAGAGCATGAGGTAATGGCTTGACCACTTCACCACAAAGACTCCACAGATATGTAGTAGTACTCCACGGAGAATGCAGTAGTCCTGTGGTTAGGTGCTTGCCTTTTGACCTGAAGGTCTTTTATAACTGACCTCAGCTCCCAGGTTGCTTCAGCCAGCAATTGTTCTTCTTCTTTGTTCATCGACTGTAAGCTACGGCAGAAAGTCCTGATTGTTCGTTCATTTGGACTGTGTGTCAGGGCCTTAGTTTTGTATGTACGTCCATTTTACTGGCTAGTTTGTGTGCAGCTGATTGTTCCTTGTCGCTCTGGCAGACGCACTCTGACTTCAAAGGAAGCTCCTAATTATTCAACTCCTACAACATGCTTGTTTGGGAGGTAGTGGTCTATTCTTGTTTCTTAATGGGGCCCCTCAGAACCCACACAGGGAAGCCAGCAAATGATAACAAGAAATGTCTTGGGACGAAACAGGCAGACGGATGATGTGGATCCCATCACCCATTGAGTGATGATTTAGACTGTAATGTATGATCCAGCATCAATGCCTGATGTGCCAGGGATGCGATGAGGGTCCTTTGCTCTTACCACAACTTGTCTCAGGTAGCTACAGTTACAGAAGGATGCCATCATACTTTCTGTCTTCTTCTTCTTCTCTCTAGACCTTGTTCAGCCTTTCAATGTCAGCTTTTGAAGAGGCATCTAGTAGTAGGAATGTAAACAACAATATCCTGTTCTATCTATCCAGGTTATAATTGAGATACATAGTTGTTGTTTCTTTTCCATTTCAATAATGGATATTTATGCCTATAAGTTATGTGCGATCATTCAGTATTTGTGTAGTAATTCTAAAGGATTGTAGGAGTATATAGATTGTCTCATTCAATATATTTTAAGTGTACTTTCAACACAATTATCTGGTGCGAGCCTTGGTGTGTGCTCCATAGATGGTGGTATTCACAGCATTGAGTATTCCATCCATCCATCATTTTTTTTTTTTTTTAATCGATCAGCGACCCGGTTAGCTTTCCTGTTTTTTCATTTCCCTGCCTCATGGGCAGCTGTACTCATACTGTGGCCATTGCATGTTACAGACACTTTGTCACAATTGCCCCCGGAGAGGGGGCAGTGTATTGTTTCAAGGGAAAACCATGATTGCCTGCATAAGAGGCAGCTGCAGAGCACTGGCGATGATGGGCTAAAGGAATTCATATGATGTTGATGTAATTTATAGGCCTCCCGCTACAGGGGGGGGGGGGGGGGATTTTGATAAGTAGTGTTTTCTTCGACGAAATGTTAGCTTAGCCCGACAGAATTTTATTCGGCTAATTTTTGTCTCTTTTTGTGAATTCGTCTTATGAAAAAATAATTTCAGATTTTGATCCGTATGCATTTTGTCGGACTTTAGTAATCCGATATAAAGCGCGGTGTGACGACAGTTGAGGAACATGTGGTAAGGGAAGCGCGGTGACGACGACACTGACGAGGATAAACAGGGGGTTACTGTTGTGGTGTACCTCAGCAGTTTAACAGAGCTGATTGCCCGCAGAAGGGTTGATAGATATAACCTAGAAACATGTTTCACCCAAGTCTAGAAAGCCACAAGCTCAGTGGAGGGAATGAATATGATGCACATATGATGCACTCCCTGGTCATCCTAAAAACAGGATACTAATTGGAGGGCCCAGGCCAACATAGATATGATGGTTTCCTTTACAGTCGGAGTGTTTGAGAGGTGAGGTACTAGCAGTCTGTACACGAATAAACCAGATCTGTGACATGGATGTGCCAGCAACACTTTAGTCATGGAACCAGACCAAAGTTCAGAAGTGGACAAACAACCAGAACTTTCCGCCAGAGTTTTCAGTTGGTGAATGTGAAGAAGAAGGAGGACGACGAAGAAGAAAAGGAGGAAGATGAAGAAGAAGAAAACTGAAGTAAAGCTGTCAAAATGTGAACAACAGCAAGTAATAATATATTAGTTAGTTTTACAAGTACAGTTACAATAAACAGAATTGTGGTAACAAGCCTTCAGTAAGACAGGTGGCTGAGTGGTCTCGAGGCATGGTGTCTGCCTCGAATGCTAGAGGTCCCGGGTTCAGGCCCTGGTAAAGGCTGGGATTTTTTCACCGGACTTCTAGTAATTTCCCCTGGTCTCTGAGTAGTAAGATCAGACACCCGTGTGCACTGTTGCGCACGTAAAAAATTCCTTGGCAGTTGAAAATCTAAAAGAATAGCATAATAATGCTGCCTGGGCAAAATTTGGAGTTAATAATCTACCTAAAGTATTTCATGATTCTTGCCAGTGCAACGGAGTTGGTGCACTGCGCTGAGATTCTTCAGACTCAGGCTTGAGTTATAAGTAGAACGGAGTACTTATGGGATTTTACCATTGTGTCATGATGTTGTTAGTTGTATAAACGAATAAAATAAACCAATAAACCAGTAAGAAACAAAGGCAACAATATCACATATTTTCCAATTATATTGTTATAATCTCCTTAGAAACTCATAAAATGCTGATCATATGATAGTATATACATGTTCATTTTAACAGGAAAGACAAGAGATTTTTGAAAGAGTAGAAAACATCTGTGCACACAAAAATAACTCAGAAAAGGTTTCAGAGTTTAACAAAAACCTTATGGAGAAGTATCCAAGACTGGGGAATATGGCAGCTCAAACAGGTAACATGTGAAGGGTGTAGAAAGGCATTTATATTTTGTTTCAGTTTTATTTGATCTTGTTCTTGTCCAGGTTTTTTAATTTTTGGAGCTCATTTTAGTTTTAAAAATCTGTGAAAAAATGTCAGCCTAGACAAGAAGTAGAACTAGACAGCTTCGGAATACTTCAACCGTGTGAGCAAAAAACAATGAATGTTGTAGCTAGAAAGCCTTCATCAGTATATAATATCAGTATATGACACAAGCGGACAATCATACAGTTACGTCAAGAATACATGAAATCACTTAGCTTTACTGTGAGATCTTCACAGTATATCCATCCACACTTAAACAGTAGAAGCTGTGCAAATATGTGTCATCACAGAGGTTTGACATCTTAGCTCTTTCTATCCCAAGCAACACACTGTGTGACTGGATATTATTCACATTTACCAATCAGTAGTCGGCTCTGTGGCTAAGTCAATGCGAACACTTCGTGATGCCGGGTTCGATCCTAGCTGCGGGCCATACGCCTTGTGTTGGTTTCGACAGTGGTATCAAGAAAGCCGACCGTCCAGAAAGCAGTGGCAAACTACTGGACGTAAATTTGCCTAGAAAAACCACACAACAGCCAGGGGCTGTTGGGGTTGGTTCTGCAACGTCCTGTAAAGGATACGCAACTCACCTAACCAATCAGTAAGTTATCCTATATACTAGAGACAACATTGCAGATATATATAATCTGTTTCAAGCGAACGAAAGAAAAAGAAGAAGTAAGTTATTCATGTTTTATATTTTAGATCTAGTGAAAGACTCTTTTAAAAAAACACACACATTAAAAACAACTCTGTCAACTCATGTGTTTCCTTCAAGGATTGTGAATTTGGCCGCTGTGGAAGTAGTATATCCATGAATTCAGTGTTGTAATTCTTGCTTCTCTCAGATATTAGCTAGGACCTTCTTGGACTGAAAGAGTTAATCAACCACAAAAATCATATTAGGACACCCTATGGTCTCAAAACAAAGTAACTGTCGTCCTAAGAGGATGGGGGTTTCTGATGTGTCATCATCATCATAATTAACACCATCTTGTATTATTCTATGTCACATAGTCGCAGTCTATACCTCTATCCCATACATTCCTTTCTAAAATATGGATGGAATTCACTCCAGGAACTTTAGCTTCTTTCCACAACATTTATTTTACGTTTTGTTGGGGGGGGGGGACATCCTTGTCTCCTCAGTCCATTTGTTTTTTCATTTCAGTGTCTGGTCTGTTTAATGATTGTGTGCTTGCTGCTTCACCAAGGATGTTTTCTCTTTTAGTACCATATTAGCTTTCTCTTTTGGGTGTGTTTTGTGTGTTGTTGGTGTGTTGAAATATGTAAATAAATTTACTAGTTACAGATGCGAACATTGAGTAAGATGCTAAAGAAATCTGCAGTACATCTCTTGCTTCTTGTTACAGATGACAACATTCCTGAAGTTATCTTGAAAATCACAACACTGGAAAGACTTGCATTACCAAATCATGCATTCAGATCTGTGCCAGACAGTGTGAAAAACCTTACCCACTTAGAGTATTTGAATGTGGGTTACAACCCTTGTCTTGAGACTGTCAGTGCACAGTTAGCTACCCTGCCCATAAAAGGTGAGAGACGCTGATGTCTAAGTTAAGTACAATAACATATTTTTAATAAATAAAATTAGAAAAATAAAAAATACCTGCATTAGCTGGTTGATTGGCTGTAGGCTAATTGATTGTGAGTCTGTGTTTGGTTTGTTTGTTAGTTGGCTGTTTGGTTTGTCTGTGTGTGTTTGGTTTGTTTGTTGGCTGGTTTTGTGTTTGTGTGTGTGTGTTTGGTTTCTTTGTTGGCTGATTGTTGGTTGGTTTTTTATGTGTGTTAGGTTTGTTTGTTGGTTGGCTGTTTGGTTTGTGTGTGTCTTTAGTTTGTTTGTTGGCTGGTTTTGTGTGTGTATGCATGTGTCTGTGTTTGGTTTGTTTGTTGATTGGCTGTTTGGTTTGTGTGTGTGCTTGGTTTCTTTGTTGGCTGGTTGGTTTTGTGTGTGTGTGTTTAGTTTGTTTGTTGATTGATTGATTGACTGATTGATTCAAGAACCGACATCACAGCACTCGGGGCATTCCCATAAGCCCTCCATCCTCATCTTCAGCTGCCAGCGAAGAGTTCCGATACTAATGGTGCCAGTAGCATTCTGATTAAACGTCTGTCTTGCCTTTCCTCTGAGCCTTGAGCATCTGCTAGAACCTCTCGTCACTCCCTACTGCATCAATCTCACCGGACTGTGGTGATCCATCTGCTCCTCCGAACTGTACACGCTCTCCCACAAGGCACTAACCACATCTGCCTTATCATGCATCAGTATTCCACCAAGCTGTGCTGAGCCAGCCAGTCTGTCCGCCTGTTCATTTCCCAACACACCGGTGAAAAAATCCAGATAATACTCCTCACCCGTGTCCTCCGCAGCAAACCATGCCACTCTGCACAAAGCATGCCTGTCCTGATCTTTCTCAGCATGCTTTCTGAGTCAATTACAATAATGATGTGTGGGTGTGTCATGTTCTCTAGCCAGCAGAAAGCTGCAGTGACCGCCTCCACCTCCATTCTTAAGCTGGATGTTGTGATATCATATGCTAGGCTCTCCTGCACCAAACATCGACCATTAACTTTTGCTAAGAAACCCCAAGCACTTCTTTTGCCTCTTGACACTCAACCGTTTGTGTAAATGATCAAATCTTCTGAGCTAGCATTATCTTGAATTAATTGCTGAATTTCCACCTCTGTGGCACCTGCTGGTCAGTCTCTGCATTCCCGGCTCAGTGTGATTATGACCCTACACAAGTCTGACTGTTCAGGTGGCACTTTGACCCACTCCTCTCCTCACCTAATGTTCTCAAGGATGCAAACCTGTCTGATTGTGTCTTCTGCGTGAGCCATCCATGACTTCCCTCTTATCAGCCGCTGACCCTTAACTGCACCCAGAGCTTCAGGCAAAGGATAGTCTGTGTCTGCAGCTAACCTGAAATATGACTTCGTCTGCAGCACCTTGTGCCTACCTGCAACAGTTGGCAAACCAAGACTGTGTTTGTTGGTTGGTTGGCTGTTTAGTTTGTGTGTGTATGTGTTTAGTTTGTTTGTTGGCTGGTTTTGTGTATGTGTGTGTGTGTTTGGTTTGTTTGTTGGGCTGTTTGGTTTGTGTGTGTGTTTGGTTTGTTTGTTGGCTGGTTTTGTGTGTGTTTGGTTTGTTTGTTGGTTGGCTGTTTGGTTGTGTGTGTGTGTGTGTGAGTGTGTGTGTGTGCGTGCGTGCGTGCATATGTGTTCGTGTTTATGGTATGCAGGTATTGTTGTCGGCTGGGTGAGGAATCCTCTTAGACATTAAGATATTATGATCCTGGAAAAGAGACTGCATGTATTGGTGTAAAGCTGGTGTAGAAACCCTGATATCCAGGCACCATATCCATGGAGACTGTGTTACGGTGCTCCACTTCCCTTCTCCATGCTCTGAATCAAGCAGGGGGTGTGAGACCGATACTGAAACTTTATGCCTTTGGGTAGATATATCAGGATGTAACTGGGTCATGATTCAGTACATGATCTGACCAGACTACAACCGGCACCATTAGTACTGGAACTCTGCGCTGGCTGCTGAAGATGGAGATGGAGTACATATGGCAATGCCCTGAGTGCTGTGACGTCAGTTCATGACTCAACTCAACTCATCTCAGCACTTGATCAATGGACTGGCTGAGATTAGGCCAGTAGGAAATGTTTCTTCCATAAGTTTTAGCTATTTTAGCTATTTCATTTTCAGCGGACCTATGCCCAAAATCTGCATAGAGATATTTTTTTATTCATTGAAAAATCTTAAAGGTTAAAGTCAAGAGGATCGACTTCATTGCATCAGGTTTTATCCCATATGACTCGGCCTCTTTCCACAGAACAGCCAGCTGCCTATGAAGAGCGCTGTATAAAGCACAAACTCCATAGCTCCAGTGACGATCCCCAGAGATCTCTGAATAAATTGGACTCTGGTGCCACTGTGAAACAAGCTCATGACCTTCAGAATGTGAGGCAAACGGCTTGGCCACTTCACCACGGAGACCCCCAGTTGTTGTTTTTTTCTCAATTTGACTTTGACTCACAGATTTACCCATAATTAAATGGGTGCCAGGTAATGTAAACGCTCGCTGTGGATCGGAAGGTCGTGGGTTCGCTCCCTGGCGGAGCCGGACTTATTTCCAAAATGACCTTGGCTCCCAGGTCAACCCAGCCTTGAGTGGGTACCAGGTGCAGTCCCGGGAAAGTAAAGACGGCCGGCGTGATGCTGACCACATCACCCATCTTGTGCCAATTGGTCTATAAAAATATAGGTCTAGCCCTATATGCCCTATACTCCTAAAGGCGTGGAAAAAGGGTTCTTTACTTTGTTTTACTTTTACAGGTAATGTAATGGGATCTTAAGGAGGCCAGCATGATGTTGACCATGTAACCATTGTGTTCAGACAGATCTATAAATATATAGGTCTAGCACTATATGCCTGATAATCCTAAGGCGTATAGAGGGTCCAGTAACGTTAAGGTATAGGACCCCTTTTTTTTGCACCAGTGCTAGTTAAAGTTAGTTGCGTGTCCTTTACAGGACGTTGCAGAACCAACCCATAGCATTTTTTTTGGCTGATGTGGTTTTTCCAGGCAGATTATACATTCATTAGTTTGCCATTGCTTTCTGAACGGTCAGCGCTCAGTACTACTGTCAAAACCAGCGCAAGACAAATCGTCCACCGCTGGGATCAAACCCGGCACTACAAAGGGCATTCGCAACATTGAGCCACAGATGCTAGACTCACACTTAATTAGTAACCTGCTTCAGTCGGAATGCTTGGTAACTCTAACAGTGTGGATTAATTTACTAAAGTAACTTCATACAGTGTGGGCTAATTGTGCAGAGTAACTTTGTACAGACTGGGCTAATTTAACTTAGTAACTTCAGACAGTGTGTATTTAACCTAGTAACTAATTCAAAGTGTGCTATTTTAACACAGTAACTCATACAGACTGGACTAATTTAACATAGTAACTCAGACTGGGTTAGTTTAACATTTAACTTTATACAGGGTGGATTAATTTAACTGAGAGGCAAGGAACCAGGAGTCTGCATGCAAGTGAATCAGATTTGTAAAACGGATGTGCAGGCAGAACTCAGGTTCCGGAACAAGACTGAAGTCCAGAGGCAGATAAATAGTCGAACTTTCTGCCGGAGTTTACAGCCAGGGAACGCAAAGAAGAAGAAGAATTAGCAAACCATAGAAATAAGATATCTGAGAAAAGCTGCAGGAGTAACCAAACGACATAAAATCAGAAATTAGGTCATAAGATGAAAAAATGTCAGCACAGAACCAATTCTAGATTACATACAAAGATAGCAAATTAAATGGTTTGCCCTTTTAGAGAGAATGTCTTGTGAGGCCATACCATGCAAGACATACACCAAAAGAGGAAAAGGACAAAGTGCATTAGGTCGACCAAGAACAAGCTGGAAAGATAAAATCAGAAAAACTCTACAGAATGATGTGTCTATGGTCGAGGAGGCCATAAGAGCAGTAGGCAGAACCTTATATCTCCCTCAACACCCAAAGCGGTGAAAAAGGGAGTGAACAAGAAGATCAGGAAAGTACTAAAGTAGAAAACTTGTTCTGTGAAAGGAAACATTTGATCCGCAAAAGGGGAAATTTGATTTGCAAAAAGGTACATTTTATTTGCAAAATAATGCCTCTGATTTGCAAAAAGGTACATTTTATTTGCAAAATAATGCCTCTGATTTGCAAAAAGGTACATTTTATTTGCAAAATAATGCCTCTGATTTGCAAAAAGGTACATTTTATTTGCAAAAATAATGCCTCTGATTTGCAAAAGGTACATTTTATTTGCAAAATAATGCCTCTGATTTGCAAAAAGGTACATTTTATTTGCAAAATAATGCCTCTGATTTGCAAAAAGGTACATTTTATTTGCAAAATAATGCCTCTGATTTGCAAAAAGGTACATTTTATTCGTGCAAAATAATGCCTCTGATTTGCAAAAAGGTACATTTTATTTTGCAAAATAATGCCTCTGATTTGCAAAAAGGTACATTTTATTTGCAAAATAATGCCTCTGATTTGCAAAAAGGTACATTTTATTTGCAAAATAATGCCTCTGATTTGCAAAAAGGTACATTTTATTTGCAAAATAATGCCTCTGATTTGCAAAAAGGTACATTTTATTTGCAAAATAATGCCTCTGATTTGCAAAAAGGTACATTTTATTTGCAAAATAATGCCTCTGATTTGCAAAAAGGTATATTTTATTTGCAAAATAATGCCTCTGATTTGCAAAAAGGTATATTTTATTTGCAAAATAATGCCTCTGATTTGCAAAAAGGAATGACTTACCAGTCCTGAACAGAGTATATTATTATTATTATTTATTTTTAAACAGCCTATTGTCTCTCTAATATGAATTTGCGTTAATTATTTTAATATGTTTTCATGGATACTTCTAACAATCATTTAATTTCAGTTTTTAGTTACTAAGTTGACCCCCAACCTCGACCTTGCTTCGTGCAATTTTTTTCTTTGTGCCATTGTCTCTGAATGTTCATTGAAAATACTAGCAACTATATCACAAGTTTCAACGTACTCTATTTGCTCCTTTTTCAGTCAAAGATGGTTACCCTCCTGTATTAATGTTTATGAGAATAAACCTCCATAATCTACATAGCAATTAATAACGTAAGTTTTATTCATAATTTCAGAACTACATTTGAAAGACTGTGCTAATCTCAAGACGCCCCCGAGGGAAGTTGTAAGGAGAGGGTTCCTGGCTGTTTTTGGTTTCCTGAAGCGTCTGTTGCAAGGTTCGGTCTCCTGCAAGAGAACAAAGTTGATGATGGTGGGCCTGGGAGGAGCAGGAAAGACCAGGTGTATTTATTGTTATGTGTTCCTGGTTAATAACATAGTGAACTAAATGTTACATAACTTGTAAAGCGTGGGCTAATTTAACATAGTAACTCAAACAGGGTGGGCTAACATAGTAACTCTAACAGTTTGGATTGAAATAATAAAGTAATTTTATAGAGCGTGGGCTAATTGTGCAGAGTAACTTTGTACAGGCTAATTTAACTTAGTAACTTCAGACAGTATGTATTAATTTAACCTAGTAACTAATCCCAAGTGTGCTTTTTTAACACAGTAACTCAAAAAAAGGGGGCTAACATAGTAACTTCCTACAGACTGGGTTAATTTTAACATTTAACTTTATACAGGGTGGATTAATATAACTAATTTAACATAGTAGCTCATAAATAGTGGGCTAGTTTAGCCTAGTAACTGATATAGAGTTAACTAATTTAACATAGTAACTCATACGGATTGGACTAATTTAGCATAGTAACTGATACATTGTGGATCAGTTTAACTTAGTAACTCATGCTTAGTGATCTAATTTAGCATAGTGACTCATTCACAGTAGGCTAAATTATTTAACACAGTAACTCATTCAGAGTAGCCGTGATACTACTTGTTAACAAATCTGATTTTTTTTTTTTCAGCCTTGCCAAAGCTCTGACCTGTGAAGGACACCAGTACTATCAAGACTATGGGGAGATGATCACAGATGGCATCATTATATCAGAATGGGTAGTGCCCATTGATGAACAAGAAGGAGGTGAAAATCCTGGGGACTCCTCTGACTACTTGCACTTTAGTGTGTGGGATTTTGCTGGGCAGACTGTGTATTACAATACCCACCAGGTGATATGAATAAATAAACCAGGTGATATGGATAAATAAACCAGGTGATATGAATAAATAAACCAGGTGATATGAATAAATAAACCAGGTGATATGAATAAATAAACCAGGTGATATGAATAAATAAACCAGGTGATATGAATAAATAAACCAGGTGATATGAATAAATAAACCAGGTGATATGAATAAATAAACCAGGTGATATGAATAAATAAACCAGGTGATATGAATAAATAAACCAGGTGATATGAATAAATAACCAGGTGATATGAATAAAATAAACCAGGTGATATGAATAAATAAACCAGGTGATATGAATAAATAAACCAGGTGATATGAATAAATAAACCAGGTGATATGAATAAATAAACCAGGTGATATGAATAAATAAACCAGGTGATATGAATAAATAAACCAGGTGATATGAATAAATAAACCAGGTGATATGAATAAATAAACCAGGTGATATGAATAAATAAACCAGGTGATATGAATAAATAAACCAGGTGATATGGGAGATAATTATGTTCTGATTATGATAGGTTATCCTTTCCCCTGTGTCGTAATTGTAACAGACTCTGAAAGTTTGCTGAGAAAGGTGAATGCAGGACGCTTCGACCAGAGTGGCAAGCTTCACTGGGAAGGTCACAGGTAGTGGGCGTACTTTGGATCTTTTCTCCAGGTTATGCCGGCATAGTAGGTAATTATCTTGCAGACATATTGGCTGGATCTGTACCACTGGGTGGTGATTTGATACATGACAAGGCAGATGTGATCAAGGCCCTTAGTGAACAAGCAATGGAATCAGTAGAGAAAGAAGATTATTATGGCCTGGAGAGAATGAGGCACCTGGGTGTAACCAGAGAGTCTAGCTGGCTCACTTCACTCAGAGGAAAGGCAAGATGGACATATAACCAGATTGTGACCAGTACCATCAGTATTGGAACTCTGCACTGGCTGCTGGAGATGAGGACGGAGCACGAATGGAAATGCCTTGAGTGCTGTGATGTCAGTTCTTGACTCAACTCAAACTCCCCCATGTGGGTTCCGGGGCCCCATTTTGAAGGAACAAAGAACAGACTCACTGCCCCCTAGCAAGCATGTCATAGGAGACATCTAATTAGGGATATTTCCTTTGAAGTCTGAGTGCATCTGCTTGAGATGAGAGGCAAGGAACTAACAGTCTGCTTAAAGATAAGCCAGATCTGTGAAATGAATGTGCATGTAAAAACTCAAGTTCTGGAATTAGACCAAAATTACTAAAGTGGATGAACAACCAAAACATTTTGCCAGAATTTACAGCCAGTGATCACACAAAAATGAGAAGAAGAAGGTAGTTGTACAGTTCCAGTTTTTATGGTTTTCTTTTGCTCAGAATTCAAGTAGTGTTTTTTTTTCTGGTTTTTTCTTCAGCATAATACAGGCATATGTACACATGGTACAAAACTGAACCTCTGGGAGTGAGTGAATCCTGCAGATGCGCGAATAAATCATCACATTATGATGTGAGTAGTGCAGTGAGAGTGACCAGGAGATCTGACACTCAATACTCAAGGAAAAGGCAAGATGGACATGCAGTCAGACTGTTACTGGTACTATGGAAATTGTAACTTTGTGCTAGCTGTTGAAGATGGAATTCCAGTGACATTTGACTAAAAAGCTTAACGAAATGGGGAAGCAGAAAAATGTGCATGAAACAACACACATAACGTTTCGGCCGGCAGACTTTGTCAAACATGGTGAGAACTACACAAATGTAACAAAGAGGAGAATATTCGGATCTCTAAGGGGTGACGTGAGCAATGTTTTAAAAAATGGGATGTGTATTGAATGAAAAAAAAATTATAAAAAAAAACAACGGCTAAAAAATATTTAGTCATAAAAAAAAAAAAGTAATATTGTTAATATATAATATAATAGTTGGAATAATAGAATTACAAATGTTAATGATACATAAAAGATACTGATAAGAGACAGAATAAAGTAATAATGTGAAATAAAAGAAAAGAAAAGAATTATCATTAAAAATGTGATAATAGTAAAATTGTTTAGATGAAGGTATGCTGGATATTGATGCCACCTGGACTGAAGATGGGGATGTTCTCATGGAAATGTCCCGAGTGCTATGATGTCGTTTCTTAGCTCACTTCAGTTTAACTCATGTACCAATGACAGAAAGGATAGGAAAAGATGTATAGATGTATTTGATATTTTAAAACCACAGCCTTGGATCAGTGCTCATTTGTAAAATAACAGTAATATTTAGGAACTTCATGATAAAATAAGGGGATAAACAAGAAGCCTAGATGAATGGCTTGAGTAAGTTTTTTTTTTATAAACAGCATCCTTTTTTAAAAAGCTGAAATGAGGCGGAAGCAGACACCTCCATGAATTTGGATTCAGGACAGTGAACATGCATTGGCTATGAAAGCACATAGGGCAGGAGAGAGACTCTCAGATGTGTCTTGATGAGAGCATATAGTGCAGGAGAGAGACTCTCAGATGTGTCTTGATGAGAGCAACATTCTATACATGACCTGCTTATTGGTTGTCAGAAGTGGTTTTAAAAAATAATAATAAAAGTACTAGGTTAGTTGCGAATCCTTTACAGGACGTTGCAGAACTAACCCCAACAGCCCCTGGCTGTTGTGTGGTTTTTCTAGGCAAATTTACGTCCAGTAGTTTGCCATTGCTTTCTGGCCGGTTGGCTTTTTTGATACCACTGTCGAAACCAACGCAAGGCGCATGGCCCGCACCTGAAATGGAACCCGGCATCCCAGCATTATGAAGCGTTCGCATCGACTTAGCCATAGAGCCGACAAAAGTACCAGGAGAAGACTGAAATTAAAAAAACCCTCATTTAGAATGTAGACCATAGTATGCAGCACTGAGTGAGTTGTGGCACAGTAGCTAAATGCTTGCCTATCAGCCTGAAGGTCTTAGGTTTTAATCCTCATCTCCCAGTGTGGGGTCTGGGAGCCTGATTGTGGGAAGGGGAGGGAGGAGAATAGACCCACTGAGCCCCTAACAAGCATGTTGTAAGAGTTGAGGTGTTTAGGGGTGTTCCCTCTGAAGTCTGAGTGCATCTGCTATAGAAATGAGGAACCATCAGTTTGCTTACAGAAAAGCCGGATCTGTAAAAACGAATGTGCACATAAAACAGCTTTTAGAACTAAACTAAAGTCCAGAAGTGAATGAACAACCAGAACTTTCCCTGCAGTTTACAGACAGTGAACATAAAGAAGAAGAATCCACATTGAGCAGATTTTTAAGATAGACTTGGTCTATAAAGTTGACCCAGTCTAATGGGAATACCAGGGAATGTCCTAGTAAACATAGATGATCATCATAACGTTGATCAATTTTTTTTTTTTTTACTTGCTAACACAGCACATCATCTTGATGATGACTGTATTATTGAAATGGTAATATCAGTTTTGGTGCTTTATTAATATCTTACCTCAAACAGGGAAAATTCACAGGTCACGGGACAGTCTAATATTTCAGGGGTTGGTAGATAGGCTGCATGCAGTCGTGGGACCTAGGCTGCATGCAGTCCTAGGACCTAGGCTGTACTCTCTCGTGGGACGTAGGTTGGTTGAGGTTAGGGCCAGTTCTAGATGTTTTGGGGTTGTTAAAAGTATCAGAAAGCTGGGTAAGCCAGTCTTACCACCCTCTAAAATGTTGGCCTGTCCTGTGACGTCATCTGAGGTAGGATATTAATAAAGAACCTAAGTTTTTCTTTTTCTTCTTCTATCCTTTATTCCACATAAAATTCTGGTTGTTAGTCCAACTCCCGACTTTAGCCTTGTTCCAGTAATTGAATGTTGTGTGCACATCTGTTTTTTTAAATCTAGCTTATTATTATATGCAGACTGTTGGTTCCTTACCTCTCTAACAGATGCACTCCGACTTCAATGGATGCCCACAAGTGGTTGACTCCTACGACATGCTTATTAGAAACGAGAGTGCAGACTATCTTACTGACACTGCGGTTGCTATAGCTGGTCCAGTACTGGACAGAAGTGATGTTATCAATGCCATGCGCTGCACTTACTGTACCGAGGAGCAGCACGCCAAAGGACGTGACTCCGTATCCCTGTCTAGACTGATGGACATGGGGGTGCAGCCTGGAGCTGCAAGAAATGCTCATTTCACTGAGAGGACAAGACGTTTCATTAACCAATACAGAACAGGCGTCATCAGTTGTTTTACACTTGTGGAGCTTCTGAGAAGGAGATCGGATCCTATGGATCCGTCCGGAGAGCTGTGATGATAATCCTTTCTAATCACTAATCACATGCTTGTTAGAGAGGCAGTGAGTCTATTCTTGTTTTCCCCACAGTTGGGCCTCGGAACCCACACAGGAGCTTTAATGTCAACTACAGTAATTGAACTCATTAACATTTGTTTATTGTCAGTGATGATGTTTTCAGTTTTTCCTGTCCAACCGAGCTGTTTACCTCCTGCTGTGGAACATACGACTTGGATTTGAACATGCTGGCTTAGATTTCTGGCTGAGTTCAATTGCCTGTCATGCTCCTAAAGCTCCAATATTTGTGGTTGGGTCTCACTGTGATAAGGTAAGTGCTGCATTGAAAATAAGTGTGACTGTAGTCAAACGCAAAAGAGAATTCTCAGAAGTTGTATCAAATCCTATCCTGATATATGGAGGGGAATCAGGGGTAGTTGGTTGATTTGTGAAAAATTATTTGGAAGCGCCCAAGATGTAACTTGATAGACAAATGATGAGAATACCGTGAACAGATTTAAAAATGTTGAATTAAGAATTGACATCACAGCACTCAGGACACTCCAATAAGCGCTCAGTCCCCATCTTCAGCAGCAAGCGAAGAGTTCAAATTCTGATGGTACCAGTAACCGTCTGATTGTATATCCGTCTCATCCTTCCCCTGAGTGTTGAGCGTCGGCAGCGCCATTCTCCTCAGACCGCAATGATCTGTCTGCGCAGAAGTACAAATCCACGTGGAAAAATCCCAGCCCTTACCGGGAAATGAACTTGGAACCTCTATCTGTAGGTTAACTACATAGTCTATGGCTTGGAGGTTGTGAACACAGTTTGTATTTCTAGGTTTGATCAGTCATGTGCCATCTCCACAGTGAATGTTGGCTGCAATGGATCTCCAACCCACTCTGTCTCTTGTCTTAGTAGTACACGCTCTCAGAATGCTATTTGTCAATCTCTTGATGTTTCAGTCCCGCTTGTATCATTGTCTGTCTCTTGCTTTCTTGCCTTCACTGCTTCCATCCAGTATGATTTTTAAAATAATACTCTTTTATTTTTTTCAGTAACTCTTTTCACACACAGTTGTTCTAGAAGCTCTGTATTTTGCTTGCAAGAGTAAACAAATAGCAAATTTTCCAGGATCCCTACTTCAATTCCAGCTGCTGGCAGTTTGGCAGCAGACATCTTTGCATTGAATTTGACAGTGACATCAAGAGCCAGCTGCTCAGAAATCAAAGGCAAACTATCTGAATTTAAAAATTGCCTAGTAAAACCACAAACAGTCAACAAATGTGACGGTTGGTTTGTGACGCTGTCTAAAGGGGATGAACCTAACTTTAACTACATATCAGGTGCAGCCAGGACTTTCTGCTGGAGCTTATAGCCGGTGAACAAAGAAGAAGAAGCAGAAGACCTATCTTCTTTCATACACTGACCCTTGAGGGGTTTCTGCTTGGTACTCTGAAGATCATGTGTTCAATGTCATGGCTGCATGGTTCCGTTTACGAATGTCAGATATTTGCTTGGTACTCTGAAGATCATGTTTCATTTTTATGGCTGCATGGTTCCGTTTACGAATGTCAGATATTTGCTTGGTACTCTGAAGATCATGTGTTCAATGTCATGGCTGCATGGTTCCGTTTACGAATGTCAGATATTTGCTTGGTACTCTGAAGATCATGTGTTCAATGTCATGGCTGCATGGTTCCGTTTACGAATGTCAGATATTTGCTTGGTACTCTGAAGATCATGTGTTCAATGTCATGGCTGCATGGTTCCGTTTACGAATGTCAGATATTTGTTTGGTACTCTGAAGATCATGTGTTCAATGTCATGGCTGCATGGTTCCGTTTACGAATGTCAGATATTTGCTTGGTACTCTGAAGATCATGTGTTCAATGTCATAGCTGCATGGTTCCGTTTACGAATGTCAGATATTTGCTTGGTACTCTGAAGATCATGTTTCATTTTTATGGCTGCATGGTTCCGTTTACGAATGTCAGATATTTGCTTGGTACTCTGAAGATCATGTTTCATTTTTATGGCTGCATGGTTCCGTTTACAAATGTCAGATATTTGCTTGGTACTCTGAAGATCATGTTTCATTTTTATGGCTGCATGGTTCCGTTTACGAATGTCAGATATTTGCTTGGTACTCTGAAGATCATGTTTCATTTTTATGGCTGCATGGTTCCGTTTACGAATGTAAGATATTTGCTTGGTACTCTGAAGATCATGTTTCACTTTTATGGCTGCATGGTTCCGTTTACGAATGTCAGATATTTGCTTGGTACTCTGAAGATCATGTGTTCAATGTCATGGCTGCATGGTTCCGTTTACGAATGTCAGATATTTTGCTTGGTACTCTGAAGATCATGTGTTCAATGTCATGGCTGCATAGTTCCGTTTACGAATGTCAGATATTTGCTTGGTACTCTGAACATCATGTGTTCAATGTCATGGCTGCATGGTTCCGTTTACGAATGTCAGATATTTGCTTGGTACTCTGAACATCATGTTTTCAATGTCATGGCTGCATGGTTCCCATTTACGAATGTCAGGTATTTGCTTGGTACTCTGAAGATCATGTGTTCAATGTCATGGCTGCATGGTTCCGTTTACGAATGTCAGATATTTGCTTGGTACTCTGAAGATCATGTGTTCAATGTCATGGCTGCATGGTTCCGTTTACGAATGTCAGATATGTGCTTGGTACTCGGAAGATCATGTTTCATTTTTATGGCTGCATGGTTCCGTTTACGAATGTCAGATATTTGCTTGGTACTCTGAAGATCATGTGTTCAATGTCATGGCTGCATGGTTCCGTTTACGAATGTCAGATATTTGCTTGGTACTCTGAAGATCATGTGTTCAATGTCATAGCTGCATGGTTCCGTTTACGAATGTCAGATATTTGCTTGGTACTCTGAAGATCATGTGTTCAATGTCATGGCTGCATGGTTCGGTTTACGAATGTCAGATATTTGCTTGGTACTCTGAAGATCATGTGTTCAATGTCATGGCTGCATGGTTCCGTTTACGAATGTCAGATATTTGCTTGGTACTCTGAAGATCATGTTTCATTTTTATGGCTGCATGGTTCCGTTTACAAATGTCAGATATTTGCTTGGTACTCTGAAGATCATGTTTCATTTTTATGGCTGCATGGTTCCGTTTACGAATGTCAGATATTTGCTTGGTACTCTGAAGATCATGTTTCATTTTTTATGGCTGCATGGTTCCGTTTACGAATGTAAGATATTTGCTTGGTACTCTGAAGATCATGTTTCATTTTAATGGCTGCATGGTTCCGTTTACGAATGTCAGATATTTGCTTGGTACTCTGAAGATCATGTGTTCAATGTCATGGCTGCATGGTTCCGTTTACGAATGTCAGATATTTTGCTTGGTACTCTGAAGATCATGTGTTCAATGTCATGGCTGCATAGTTCCGTTTACGAATGTCAGATATTTGCTTGGTACTCTGAAACATCATGTGTTCAATGTCATGGCTGCATGGTTCCGTTTACGAATGTCAGATATTTGCTTGGTACTCTGAACATCATGTTTTCAATGTCATGGCTGCATGGTTCCATTTACGAATGTCAGGTATTTGCTTGGTACTCTGAAGATCATGTGTTCAATGTCATGGCTGCATGGTTCCGTTTACGAATGTCAGATATTTGCTTGGTACTCTGAAGATCATGTGTTCAATGTCATGGCTGCATGGTTCCGTTTACGAATGTCAGATATGTGCTTGGTACTCGGAAGATCATGTTTCATTTTTATGGCTGCATGGTTCCGTTTACGAATGTCAGATATTTGCTTGGTACTCTGAAGATCATGTGTTCAATGTCATGGCTGCATGGTTCCGTTTACGAATGTCAGATATTTGCTTGGTACTCTGAAGATCATGTGTTCAATGTCATAGCTGCATGGTTCCGTTTACGAATGTCAGATATTTGCTTGGTACTCTGAAGATCATGTGTTCAATGTCATGGCTGCATGGTTCCGTTTACGAATGTCAGATATTTGCTTGGTACTCTGAAGATCATGTTTCATTTTTATGGCTGCATGGTTCCGTTTACGAATGTAAGATATTTGCTTGGTACTCTGAAAGATCATGTTTTCATTTTTATGGCTGCATGGTTCCGTTTACGAATGTCAGATATTTGCTTGGTACTCTGAAGATCATGTTTCATTTTTATGGCTGCATGGTTCCGTTTACGAATGTAAGATATTTGCTTGGTACTCTGAAGATCATGTTTCATTTTTATGGCTGCATGGTTCCGTTTACGAATGTCAGATATTTGCTTGGTACTCTGAAGATCATGTGTTCAATGTCATGGCTGCATGGTTCCGTTTACGAATGTCAGATATTTGCTTGGTACTCTGAAGATCATGTGTTCAATGTCATGGCTGCATAGTTCCGTTTACGAATGTCAGATATTTGCTTGGTACTCTGAACATCATGTGTTCAATGTCATGGCTGCATGGTTCCGTTTACGAATGTCAGATATTTGCTTGGTACTCTGAACATCATGTTTTCAATGTCATGGCTGCATGGTTCCATTTACGAATGTCAGGTATTTGCTTGGTACTCTGAAGATCATGTGTTCAATGTCATGGCTGCATGGTTCCGTTTACGAATGTCAGATATTTGCTTGGTACTCTGAAGATCATGTGTTCAATGTCATGGCTGCATGGTTCGGTTTACGAATGTCAGATATGTGCTTGGTACTCGGAAGATCATGTTTCATTTTTATGGCTGCATGGTTCCGTTTACGAATGTCAGATATTTGCTTGGTACTCTGAAGATCATGTGTTCAATGTCATGGCTGCATGGTTCCGTTTACGAATGTCAGATATTTGCTTGGTACTCTGAAGATCATGTGTTCAATGTCATAGCTGCATGGTTCCGTTTACGAATGTCAGATATTTGCTTGGTACTCTGAATATCATGTGTTCAATGTCATGGCTGCATGGTTCGGTTTACGAATGTCAGATATTTGCTTGGTACTCTGAAGATCATGTGTTCAATGTCATGGCTGCATGGTTCCGTTTACGAATGTCAGATATTTGCTTGGTACTCTGAAGATCATGTGTTCAGTGTCATGGCTGCATGGTTCCGTTTACAAATGTCAGATATTTGCTTGGTACTCTGAAGATCATGTGTTCAATGTCATGGCTGCATGGTTCCGTTTACGAATGTCAGATATTTGCTTGGTACTCTGAAGATCATGTGTTCAATGTCATGGCTGCATGGTTCCGTTTACGAATGTCAGATATTTGCTTGGTACTCTGAAGATCATGTGTTCAATGTCATGGCTGCATGGTTCCGTTTACGAATGTCAGATATTTGCTTGGTACTCTGAAGATCATGTTCCATTTTTATGGCTGCATGGTTCGGTTTACGAATGCAATTTTTACGGAGACCGACTGTTCCTCCCAACTATGCTTGATGGCTAAAGTTAAAGATGATGATGAATGTGATGAATATTCTGATATTTTAGACATATATTTTATTAGAGAGAATTTATCCTTCTACCTCCCCCACCCCCACCCCACTCAAACCAACACCCCTAAACCCCTTTTTCCTTGTGGGTTTTAGGATACCATATTCTACTTGAATTCTGGATAAGGGCAGTAGAATGGGAAATGAAGGAATGTAAACTGACATGGGATACCATGGACAGAAACGCAGCAGACTGGCAGCAATGGAGATCACTTGTGCTTGCCTTATGTATCAACATTGACATGAAGAGGATATAGATCCTATTGGGGGGAGAGGAGAGGGATTGATGATAGACTCACTGGCCTCTAACAGGCGTGTTGTTGAAGGTAACTAATTTAGGATTTGCTGATGTGTTTTCCCCAAAGATGCATATATTGCAGCCTAGCTGAGAACCACAACACAACTTACAGATATTGCAGCCTTGCTGTGAACCACAGCTGTGTTACCAGCCATCTTTTTAGAAGGCGAATACAGAAGATGAAGAAGAAAAAAGAATACCTGTTTTTGTCTGACTCATGAATTCATGAATAATATTTCACTTTCAGGTACAGAAAGGAAAGCTGCCAAGAGAAGAGTTGAAACGCAGATTTCCACAAATTGTAGGCTTTCATTTTATCAGCTCTTATACAGGGGAGGTGAGTAGTTGGTTATTATCAGTGAATGAAGTACATCTTTTGAAACTAAACTGTTTATGAAACATTTCTTTTCTGAATGTTGTTTTCCTTTGAAACTTTAGTTGCAGTTCTCTAAATGTAACTAGAAGAAACAGGATTAGAAAAAATGATATCTGGAAAGAAGTTGGGACAGAACCATCACTAAACTATATCAAGAGACAACAGATCAAATGGTTTCGATGTCTGTTAAGACTAACACAGACAATTCACCACAGAGAGTCCTGTCACTTAGACATAATGGAAGCAGAACTAGGGGTCGACCATGCAAGCGATGGATAGATGGAATATCCGAGGCCATACAAATCAGAATCAACGTAGTACATACCAAGGCTTGCACCAGATACCTCTTCAAACACTGACACTGAAAAGCAGAACAGGAAAAGAGAAAAGAAAAATGAAGAAAAGTTTTGGCTCGGCTTTACTGTTTATATTTCATATTCCTGTTAAGAGCTAGTTTAAAGCCTTCATTTAATAAGCCAGAAGAGCTTATACAGCCTTATACATTATCTTTCTTACTGGATTACTGAAGACTACTTTAAAATTTATATCATGTCAGCATTTGCTCAAATATAATGACCTGAATGTTTCCTCATCCGTTATGATATTTCTTTTTGTTTCCCTTGTATTAAAGAAAAGCTGTTTCAAATATTTATTTTCGTAATTAAGTTTAAAAACATTACAGACATTTCTTGCTTTATATTGTATTATGGACTGACTGACTGACTGACTTTTTACCCCACCAGGACATCACACAAGCGGTAAACACCCGATGACACAATGTGCCACCATGTGGATGAGGATCACCGTGGAGAGGTCCCAGAAACCGCGTTCAGCCTTTAGGCCATATTTATGACCAGGCTATATATTAAAAGAGGCGGGAGCCCGAAGACAACTTATCACTGACATCAGAAGGAGACAGTCATCATTTTTCGGCCATGTTATGAGAAGAGGGAAAATAGAACATGTTGTGACCACTGGAAAGATCTGTGGAAGGAGGGATAGAGGAAGACAACGAGAGAAGATGCTTGACAGTCTTGTTCCATGGCATGGAGGGGTGTCGGCACACAAACTGATACATGCTGCAGGAGATCGCGGATTATGGAGAGGCATGATTGCCCACGCCAGTCGGCAAGGCACCTGATGATGATGATGATATTGCGGCCCCTGGCAAGAGCCAGAGTAGGGTTTCAAATAACGCAAAATTTTGCCCTAAACAGGACGGAAAGCAATTATTACAATAATATGGACTGATAATATTTTCTGAGCTGGTGCTACATTTTTTTTTTTACATTTTTAAGAAGTCATAATTGACAAATGGAGATGAGTTAAATTCAAAAAGATAATCTTATGTTTTAGGGAATCATGGAGCTAAAAGAAGAAATTATCCAGACAGCCCTGAGTCAGAAGTATATGGGTGAGATGATTCCAGAAGCATGGCTTGGCCTAGAAATGAAACTTGACAAGTGAGTTATGCTTAAAAAATGAGAACACAGAATATATTGATTAATTTCTTACATGGCATATTTGCTTTTATCTGAGGTATCTTGGACATGTTAAACCTCATGGCGGCCTGAAAAAAATGATATTCGAGGGAACAGTTTCCAGAAAATGAGGCGAAGACAGACCTCTGCAAAGGGGGATACAAAATTTTAAAAAATACATTGGCTGCAAAAGCACATCAGGCTGGATGCAAGAGAGACTACCATAATGAGAGTGATGTTCTGTAAAGGACCTGTTGTTTGATCAGTCATGTACACTAGTTTACCAGTATTTTGTTTTCCACTGGGATTTTTTTGTGTGTAAGCTTGTAGTGCTGATGGTATAAATGTGGTGTGATGGATAATATTGATTATAGGAGCCACAGTCAGTGGATAGTTCTCATTTCATTGCATTGACATCATGAAACATCTCAATAAAATCATACGTTTTGCCTGTCAACAACACATCAGTTACTACATTCATGCAGCAGTTGTCATTTTTGTAACAGCGTCACTTTCCTAGACCACCGTAACCAGTAATAAATGACAGTCAAAATGGGCGATAGGCACTGTCACTGATTTTAGTCGTAGCAAATGTTTGGCTTCTGACATACTGTGGCCATTGCATTCTCCATTGTATACTGAAAAGATATAGTTTTGTTGCCCACTTACTGGGTTGAGCGCACGGCATGACATTGTGAGCTGTGGATTTCATTTGGAATATGTTTTTTTTCTACTGTGACCAACGTGGTGTTGTGAACTGTGGATTTAAAAAATAAAACGGTGTGTGGCCTATTGCTACAGAATTGGTGGTGCCTTATGTGATTAAAACTAAACTCATGTGCAACTGCTGATCTGTTCGCAGCTGCTGAGTGCCTGTGTATGCTAGTGGATATGCTGAGACTACAGTCGTGCTAAGTTTTTCCATGAGGGACAAGGATGGGCATTCTGTGTTTTTCATGAGCACAGGAGCGGAGCAACTAGGGGGTGACCCATTTGCTGTGAAGTTGAAACTAAGATTACTAGATCCAGTAATAAAACTTTGGTAGAACACTGCCATTCATACTTTGGTAGAACACTGCCATTCATACTTTGGTAGAACACCGCCATTCATACTTTGGTAGAACATAGCCATTCATACTTTGGTAGAACACTGCCATTCATACTTTGGTAGAACACTGCCATTCATACTTTGGTAGAACACTGCCATTCATACTTTGGTAGAACACTGCCATTCATACTTTGGTAGAACACTGCCATTCATACTTTGATAGAACATTGCGATTCATTCTTTGGTAGAACACCGCCATTCATACTTTGGTAGAACGCCGCCATTCATACTTTGGTAGAACATTGCCATTCATACTTTGGTAGAACACCGCCATTCATACTTTGTTTGAACATTGCCATTCATATTTTGGTAGAACATTGCAATTCATAATTTGATAGAACACCGCCATTCATACTTTGGTAGAACACTGCCATTCATACTTTGGTAGAACACTGCCATTCATACTTTGGTAGAACATTGCCATTCATACTTTGGTAGAACACTGCCATTCATACTTTGGTAGAACATTGCCAATCATACTTTGGTAGAACACCACCATTCATACTTTGGTAGAACACTGCCATTCATATTTTGGTAGAACACTGCCATTCACACTTTGGTAGAACACTGCCATTCATATTTTGGTAGAACATTGCCATTCATATTTTGGTAGAACATTGCCTTTCATACTTTGGTAGATCACTGCCATTCATACTTTGGTAGAACACTGCCATTCATACTTTGGTAGAACATTGCCATTCATACTTTGGTAGAAAATTGCCATTCATACTTTGGTAGAACATTGCCATTCATACTTTGGTAGAACATTGCCATTCATACTTTAGTAGAACATTGCCATTCATACTTTGGTAGAACATTGCCATTCATACTTTGGTAGAACATTGCCATTCATACTTTGGTAGAACACTGCCATTCATACTTTGGTAGAATACTACCATTCATACTGTGGTAGAACACTGCCATTCATACTTTGGTAGAACACTGCCATTCATACTTTAGTAGACCACTGCCATTCATACTTTGGTAGAACACTGCCATTCATACTTTGGTAGAACACTGCCATTCATAATTTTGTAGAACACTGCCATTCATACTATGGTAGAACACTGCCATTCATACTTTGGTAGAACATTGCCATTCATACTTTGCTTGAACATTGCCATTCATACTTTGGTAGAACATTGCCATTCATACTTTGGTAGAACATTGCCATTCATACTTTGTTTGAACATTGCCATTCATACTTTGTTATTTGTCATTCACATAAAATATTTTCTCATTATCAGTGTTCGTAGGACTGAAGAGAAAGCACTTCTGCCTTGGAGTGAAATTGAGGAACTAGCTGGAGCTGCTGGGATATTCGATAACACTGAGGTATTTTTTCTGTAAATGACAATTTATGTGTCAGGCAGGTTGGAGATTAATTTGCATTAACAGGTGTATGAATCATTTTATAATTCATGTTTTCTTATAAAGTAAATCGGTGCATCATATGTTGGAAACCCATAATTTGTTTTATATAATGAATTTTGTTATGGCATTAATTTTTATGAATATATTATGTAAATAGAAAAGTATACTGACATTCTTCATGGTCTGAATGTTAAGGGGGTCTGGCTTATAATTTGTATTATTTCTTGTTTCCTCCTTTTTCTTCGAGTTCACTGGCTGTAAACTCTGGTGAAAAGTTCCAGCTGTTCGTCAGACTTTGTTCTTGTTCCAGAACTTGAGTTTTGTGTGCACATCAGTTTTACAGATCTGGCTTATTTATATGCAGACTGTTGGTTCATTTCCTGTCAGGCAAATGCATTCTGACTTTGAAAAAAAAACATCCCTTAAAAGTCGCCTTTTAGGACATGCTTCCTGTCTAGTTCATCTCCGGTCTCATTCATTGGGGTTTTTGTTAACACTGTACTTACTGAGTAAGTAATTTGCAATCTCAGGATATTATGGAACCAACCCCAGCATTTTTAGGTTATCTGATTTTACTAGGCACTTTTACATCTATTAGTTTGCCATTGCTTATTGAATGGTCGGCACTTCATACCACTGTTGAATTCAACACAAAGTGGTCTGCTGACAAAACACCTACGACGAACATTACTTGTTATAGATAAGTCATTTATAGTTTTAAAATGTTACAAGTAATTTATATTCCTAAAATATTAGCTGATCCAAGCAGTCCAGTTTCTGCATGATCTTGGATCAGTTCAGTTCTTCAACACCAACTTCCTGCGCTCTTATGTGGTCATCACTCCTCAGTGGATTATAGATGTCATGGCTTGTATTGTGACAGTCAATGAAGGTCCTACAAAGGTAAGCATGACCTAGCTCTGTAACAAAACTCTGTAACAGGCACAGCCCTGATGAGTGGAAAGCTCAACATATGGATTTAAGATTAGGCAGTTATGTGCAGAGTGTGGCAATTTCTTGGGTGAGCCCAGGACCAAAGGGTCAAGTGTTGGCTCTGCATTCATGGAAACCTCCTTGTATGGTGGGGAATGCCCATATTTTGCCCCTTCTTTCCTTTAGGGGCTGACCAGTCTGCCCGTGACCACGCTGGACTTGGTCTCTGGGGGCAGCAACACCTGTAGATAAAGGTACAAAGAGAACACCCACACAATAATGCTACGTTATGTCCCATTAAACCAACAAAGAAGGCTAATCCAGTGAACAAATGCCAGATGAGTTTGAATGTTTCAGCTGAAAAACTCCACTGTTGTAAGTAGGCACAGTACAAATTACATCACTTAGACAAATGATGAAGAGTAAGGAAAAACACTACCCTAGACCAGTGCTTCCCAAACTTTTCTTGGTCGTGGTGCCTTTTTACCATTAAAATTTTTCCATGGTGCCCTAACCTAAGTAAAAGTATGACAATTCGTGTTTTGGTTAAATTAACTATGAAGCTTTTACAATATTTGGCGGCGCCCCTGTGAAGAGATCATGGCTTTCTGGGGCGCCGTGGCGCACAGATTGAGAATCACTGTCCTAGACTAATGCTGATGAGTAATGTCAGGTAGATAAGAAATGAATTTACTGAGATAGCAGCAGACAGAATGGGTGGATGTGAGATGGTTGAGAGCTTATGCTCTACTGGGAGATATAAAGATGGACACTAACCTTCAACGCTGGATGGGTGCATTGCTTAATTTAATTCCTTGCAAATGAACAATGTCTTACTGTTGTCAATCCCTATTCTTCTTTGGCACTTTCTTACTCTCACATAAGATCTTGCTGGTTCCCATGTTAGGCTAGGTCGGTCTGGGAGCTCAAGTCGATGTAAGATTTAACTTCTTCAGTCCCAGATAGTAATAACTACCATCCGAGTTTCACAGTGCTGCGGAACAAAACTAGTAGATGTTTCGCTTCTACGAGTGTCAGTGTCATCTTGCCAGACAAAAATATGTTACCAGAGTCCCTGACTGAAGACAAGAAGTAAGAAAATTAACCAGACATTGATTGTTATACAAGAATATCATCCAATTACACATGCATTGCTTCGGACAGGAGGAATATTTAAACCTATGCTCACCAGTGAAATAAGAAAGTCATTATATTACCAAGGGAGTCACTGTGGCGTAGCGGCTATATGCTCGTGTGCGGATCAGAAGGTCATGGGTTCGCTCCTTGGCGAATCCGGACTTTTTTTTTTTTTTATGACCTCGACACCCAGGTCGACCCAGCCTTGAGTGGGTATCGGGTGCAATCCCGGGAAAGTAAAGAAGGCTGGCCTGATGCTGACCTCATCACCCATCTTTTGCCATTTGGTCTTTAAAAATTAAGGTCTTGCCCTATATGTCTAGAGGCGTGGAAGTGGGACCTTTAGTTAACTTTACTATTGTATTACCAATATGTCTATTATTGTCCTATGTGGCATAATGGTATTGGCCTGGCACTCTGAATATTGTAAGTACGTTTCATGGACAATTATGGTTCAGTTCAAGAGTGAAATTTTTACAGAGATCGCTTGGGAATGGTCACTGGATCTACAAAGTTTGTGCTTGTGTGAGACTTTTGGCAGGCAACCAGTCATTCTGCTGAGAGAAACCGAGCCATGTGGGATAAAACCTGGTTCAATAAAACATGACCTCTCGATTCTAAACCATAAATTTGTATTGTTCCGAGAATTTTCCTTCACTCTACTTTTATAAGCTGATTATTGTCTACTCAAGTATTGGAAAGTGCAGGTTTTCACAAGACTTAGCTGTCAAAAACTCAGAATGCTAGAGTACATTTGAAAGATGGCAGATGGAAGAAACAGTAAAGACATCTTCTATTGAATTACATTTGGGTAGAAGATCTCAGGGTCTGGCTCAATTACAATAAAAAGATGTTTGCAAGCAGGACATGAAGGATGCAAGCATTGAGATAGATTCATGGGAACAGGATGTCATAGATCATGCTGCATGAAGAGGAAAGATCTGGAAGAAAATAAGGACACAGGAGAAAATGATTACTGATGTCATAATCGCTCACTGTCTCGAAGAGTCAGCTAGAGAAACTGGAGCTCATACAGAATGAAGCTACGCGGGTGATCCTGGAATCTTCAAGAGACATCCCAGTTGTCTGCATGCGATACATCCTTGCATTGCCAACTAAGTTATACCTCAAAGTAGCTGCAGATAAAGAGCACCCTCTGTATGAAGCTTTGGATGCAGGTAAAGGTCAGAGGCTGAAATGTGAAAAATCATGGATGTTTCAACCAGAAGACACAATAAGACAACTATGTTTGCTGGAGAACATTGGGCGAAGAGAGGAGAAAAGTCTGACCTGTGTAGGGTCATGATCACACTAGGCCAGGAGTGCAGAGAGTAGCCATCAGGGGCTACGGAGGTGGAAGTCCAACAGTTGATTCATGACAATTCTCGTCCAGATGATCTGATTGTCTTGTACATTATCTATACAAATGGTTCAGTGGTGAGAGGAAAGAGAAGTGCCTGGGGGTTGGTAGCCAAAGCCAATGGAAAATCTTTAGTACAGGACAGCCTAGCATATGACACAACAACATCTAGCATGAGAATGGCGGTCACTGCAGCTTTCCTTTGGCTAGAGAACAAGATGCATACACTCTGAAGGCAAGCCAAGAAATCATGGGTAGTGAGCATACTTTGGATTTTTTCGCCAGGCCATGCAGGCATATTGGGAATTAACAGGCAGACAGATTAGCTGGATCTGCACCACTGGGTGGTGAATTGATACATAACAAGGCAGATGTGGTCAAGGCCCTTTAGGAACAAGTAATGAAGTCGGAAGAGAAACTGAATTATTATGGCCTGGAGAGAAGGAAGCACCTGAAAAAGTCTGGCCGGCTCACTTCACTCGGAGGAATAGCAAGATGGACATTTTACCAGACTACAACCGGCACCATTAGTATTGGAACTCTGTACTGGCTACTGAAGATTGGGATGGAGCGCATATGTGAATGCCCTGAGTGTTGTGATGTCAATTCTTGACTTAACTCAACTCAAATTGTGATAATCATGGGCGTCCATGGCTTCTTATAGCACAATGTTATATTACCAGCTAAGATATTCAACACTGTGGGGGAAACGGTGGACTTTTAGTCTGGTTACAAACTGGTACTATTACATGTAAAATTTTCTGTGGCTACTGAAGAAGGGGACAGAGCATGTCCTTAGTGTAGTGATGTCAGTTCTTGATTCATTCTTTCATATTTTCAGTTAAAAGTTAGAAAGGTGCCAACTCCCAAAAAAATATATTGTCTTTAAACAGGATGGCAGGCTGTTGTACTCTGACATGACAGTTGTATGGGAGAAATATCCTGAAGAGCTTCATCCTTGGTTGCTGCGACTGACAGAAGAATTTGATCTGACGTTTCCTTTATCTTCAGAAGAGGCTAATATTGTACCTTGTCTGCTGCCCAATACAGAGCCCAAGGTAATAGTTGGAAACAGTTAATGCGAAGGGTTTAAAGAAAATCCACAGAAATTTATGTCCATTGCTATCAATGGAAATATTATCTATTGAGGTCCCAAACCTCTTCCACACTTTGACTGTCATGTTGCTTTCAGAAAACTATGAAATTGCACACCATCAGAATCAAACCCTGGAAACTGAGAAAGATTCCATTATAGTTTTATAAACAAGATTTTTTTTTTTAATTTCTCCTCCAGCATCATTTTTTAATTTATATTTTGTTTGGGGTCTTTTTAAAAAAAAAAACTAGTAGTAGTAGTACATTTTACCCCACTATGACATCACACAAGCAATCAACACCCGATGATAGAATGTGCCACCATGTGGATGAGGATCAAATGTGGAGAGGTCCCAGAAACTGCGTTCAGCCATTAGGCCATATTTATGGCCTGGCTATATTGTGACCCCTAGCAAGAGCCAGGGTGGGGCTTCAAAATAACCAAAAATTGCATCCCACAAGAGGATAATTGTCCCCAGTGCTTATTTTAAAAACTTTCTCCTCCTCTTTTTCTCTGTTGTCTTCTTTTCCTCCTCATCTTCTACCTCATCTTTTTCTTCCTGCTGTTTCACCTGCTGCTCTTTTGTACCAGGTAAAGCATGGTTTGTTGTTACATTTTTTACAATTGGTCTTAGTAAACTAAATAAAGCTGGCTACATATCTGAACATTCAAATCACTGTTAAGTTGCATCTTTTACAGCAATAGGCTCGCTTGTCTTGTAATATCGTTATTGCCCCTTTGTACATTTTCTATTAATTCTTCTTGGCCAGAAAGAGCGAATTTACTTCCCGATTATGTATATATATATTTTTTTTCCCCGCAGTTTGAATATCCACTGGCTGATAAAGAAAGTAGTGAGCGAGAATCAAGATTGTTGTACAGATTTGAGTATTTGCCAGCTGGGCTGTTTAACAGAGCTCAGGTAAATGTACATTTTAAAAATAATCACATAACTTTAAAACTACATATTAGATAATTATATCACATGTAAGTGGCAGTTGACTTATAGTGATCAAAGGGGGAGACAACTTGGAAATAGGGTTGCAGAATACATACCCAGTCAAGAGGAAAGGACGACGTCTGCCTATTTGCAGACATGGAATTGACGAGAACAGTTCTTTCTGTATGTTTTACCACACACCGAACTGGTAAATGCCTGACACTGGCTGAAACTTTAACAATTAAAATCAGTAAACCACCTCTTACGTAATCAGAAAGAATTTATAGTAAATTTGAAGTTACCCTGATAAGTCACATTAGCCTGGTAAGTCACGTGACTACAGTGAACTTCCGTCAACTTGACAAACACGATGCACCGAGAGAAACCATTCGCATCTAAGGGGAATTTTTGTAGTTTTTATGCTTTATTATATGTTGATGCAACTCTGTAGTAACGCACCTGATGAGATGCCTGGCAATAAATTGTGCAATGTATTATTTGTATTCACATAATTTAAATTATATCACTGTTAATCATATGTTCTTGCTTGCTACATACATCCAGTTTTGACATATGGCTGTGAATCCTGGACAATCGGTAGGTAGGCCAAACAATTTCTGGAGGCCTCGGAGATGTGGTTTTACAGAAGAATGCTTAGAATACATTGGACAGCCAAAAAGAGCAACCAAGAGGTTTTTAAAGAGGTGGGAGCCTGAAGACAACTTATCACAGACATCAGAAGGAGACAGTCATCATTTTTCGGCCATGTTATGAGAAGAGGGAAAATAGAACATGTTGTGACCACTGGAAAGATATGTGGAAGGAGAGATAGAGGAAGACAACGAGAGAAGATGCTTGACAGTCTTGTTGCATGGCATGGAGGTGTGTCGGCACACGAACTGATACATGCTGCAGGAGATCGCAGATTATGGAGAGGCATGATCGCCCGCGCCAGTCGGCAAAGCACCTGATGATGATGATGATGATGTTAATCATATTTGGATCTAATAGACTGAAATTGCTGAGGCAAGAGAGGTAAAAATTGCATACACAAGGGAGCTGAATGTATGTAGACCACGAGGTAGACCAAGAAGACGATGGAAGGATAACGTCCAGACAGACACTTGGTGTCACCAACTGGAAAGAGAAGGCCAACCAGAGAGTGGAGGCTGGTGATATCTGCAGCAATGAACCTCAAGGGCTCAGAACGCTGATGAAGAAGAAGAATCATTTTTGGGATTTTGGCTCTATGAAACATGCAGTATCCTTACTTGTCTGAGACAGCAGTTAGTATTTGTTAGGGTCACTTCTGGTGCCTTAATTACAGAGATTAGTGAGAATTTTCATCACAGCACTCCTGATTGATACATGGGTGCTCAGATTTCCTTCTCAGAAGCTCTACAAGCATAAAATGACTGATGATGCTTGTTCTGTTTGTCTTGTCCCCTTTGATGAAATGTTCATTTCTTGCTGCTCCAAGCTGTACCCTCATGTCCATCAGCCTGGACAGGGGACAAAGTCATACCCTTTGCCATATTTTTCTTTGTGGTAAGTGCTGTCCATGGTATTGGTAACATCGCTTCTGTCCAATACCAAACCAGTGAAAGCAACTGTAGTGTCTGTAGGATGGTCCAACTTTATTTACTAACTGTTCTGGTGACCAGGTTCGCCTGCATGAATTCAGTGACAGCTCTGTTATGTGGAAGAAAGGAGTCCTGCTGAGAAAAAACAATCACAGAGCGCTGTTGCTTCAAATCAAGTATGTGTTTGTTTCACCTCTTTTAATATATTATAACTTTTTCTAAATAGTTTTTTTTTAAAACAATAGTTGAATGTTTAGCATTGTGGGCTGTACACTCTCCATTTGAGGAAATTATGAGATCTACCAGCCCTGTAATTTGGAAAGTATAAATTTTCTTAGAGAAAGAAAAGACATTAGGAAGAGAACTTACTATCATCATGTGCTATGTCATTGAGTATAGGTGATCATAATCTCTAGCACTGTCACCAGATATACTGATCAGATGGGGATATTTTTTTTCATACCCTTGCCCTGTAGCAAAGCTGTCCAGGTAGTTATCTCTGTGTCTGCTGCTTATCAGATTATAAATTTTCTTGGCATCTTTCAAGAAAAAGTTAGTTCATGATTGCTTTCCTTCTTGTCAGTGACCATAGTCATTATTACTGCAGTGTGGTCCTTTGCTGCACCATTAGGGAACTTGAGACACCTAAAAAAATGTGACTTTGTATCTTCTTCTTATGATCACTGTCTTTGATGGTCACAGTCAAATTGGCTCTTATGGTGAACTTCCTTATCTGTTGTAGCTCGTCTTTAGCCTCTTCAGCTTAGCCTGTTAGGCAAAGTGGTGAAGATTGGAGTCAAAGCATATGCATGTTTTCTTCAATTTGTTATGCCCTGTCTTGAGGCAAAGAATTGAGACCTGTCCCTATTGGCCAAAAGTATGGTAGTTGTCACTGAATTTATTTGATTATGTCTTCTTCTTCTTTCATTGGTCTCTGTGGGCATGGGTGGGTGTATGTGTGTGTGTGCGTGTATGTTTGTGTGTGTATCTGTGTGTGTGTGCACGTGTGTGTGCATGCACACATGTGCATGTGTGCATGGGGAGGGTGGAATAAAACTGTGCCTACAGCTCAACTATTGTTATTGAATTTGTGCCTTTAAGCCCAACACATCCAGCGTCTTCACACATTTGTTGTTCAGGTTAGCCTTCCCAGTTAGTTTTATGGATCATCACAGAGCCTTATTTTTATGTAGTCATCTGTTGCCCCCTAATCTGCAAGCAGTGGCCCTGTGAAACCACCGGATACAGTTTCATACATGCTGGTCAGCCCTTAAGGGAAGACTTGAGCAGAGCATGGAGATTCCCCAACATCTAAGTAGACCTTGGAAATCTTTGCTTGCTGCTGAAGATGGGGATGGAGCACTTATGGGAGTGTCCCAAGTGCTGTGGTGTCGATTCATATTTCAACATTCAACTTAAGAACTATTTTTTTAATAATGTAATATTTGTGGTTTTTAAGTTTCATATCTGCAAGCTGAAAAGGATTTGCTGTATGATAAATGAGGTGTATTGTTTTAACTTTCTAGTAACACAGAAGTGATGGTTACGGCCAGAGGATACAAACCTGAGAACATTCTTCTCTTGGTTCATGAAGTGTTTGAGTGTCTGATTGCAGACTCTTACAGTGGTGTCTCATACGACTACTCCATCCCCTGTGTTGAGTGCTTGGCTGAGGTTAGTAATCTAGACTCATTCCATGTCTTGTGTTGAGTGTCTGGCGGAGATGAGTAGTAGGGAGGATATCATCACAGCACTGAGAAAATATCCATACATGCTCTGATCGCCTCCTCAGTAGCTCCACAAAGCGTAAAATGACTAATCACGCCTGTTATGTGTTGATTAATCAGACATCTTGTGCCATTAGTGGAATGTTCATGTCTGGCTGCTCCAGACTGCACTTCCATATCTGTGCCATTAGTGGAATGTTTATGTCTGGCTGCTTCAAACTATCTATCTATTGTCTTCTTCACTTTTACCGGGCTGCAGCCCAGTGTCGTGGTTTAAAATGTTTGTTTTGAGCCTCTCTCGTGATTTGAGTGACAGTTTTCTGGATCTTCTGGCCATATTCAGCTACTCCATCTATCCATTTTTTCCTGGGTCTTCCTCTGGCCTTTCTTCCAGATGTTCTACTGTAAAAGGCCTTATAGGCAATCTGATCCGGTTGCATTCTTACTAAATGGCCAAACCAATTCATTCTCTGTCTTTCAATATGTTTCATGCATGCTCTTGTTCCAACTTTGTCTCTAATGCTGACGTTTGTGACTCTGTCTCTTCGTGTATTGTTGGTGACTCTTCGGAGACATCGCATTTCACACATAGTTATTTTTTGCATATGTGATTTGTTCATTGTCCACGTTTGGCACTGATAACATAACGTAGGGATGAAAATGCTGTTGATCATCCGTTGTTTGGCTGGTAACGAGATCTTTGGATGACGAAGAAGTGGGGCCAGTTGGTAGTTGACTGCATTGGCTTTTTGAACTCTAGCCTGTATCTCTTTATCGAGTCTTCCATCTTCTGTAAATATGCATCCTAAGTACTTGAATTCTTGAACTTGTTCTAATTTTATGTCATTGATCTTTATGTTTACATTACTGTGTTTCTTTCATATGGTCATTGCTTCAGTTTTTGAGGTGTTTATTTTCATGTCAAATTTTGTACAGTTAGTAAGCAAGGAATCAACATGTTGTTGTAGTTTTTGTTCTTCTTCTTGTAACAAACATTGGTCATCTGCAAAGAGTAGTTCATTTATAATATCTGTGTTTTGGTTTGACTCCTGTGCAATTTTATCCATATATGTGATGAAGAGTAGGGGTGATAGGACACATCCTTGTCGTACTCCTGATGTAATGGGGAACCAGTCTGTCATATCTTCCGTTGTTCTTACAGCGCTCTGGCTCAGACTGCACTCCCATATCTGGGCCATTAGTGGAATGTACATGTCTGGCTGCTCCAGACTGTACTCCCATATCTGTGAACTTGGATGAGGCTGCTGTAATTGTCTTCAGGATATGAATTTTGCATGGCATTAATGACGTCACTCCTATCCTGTGCCAGATGAGTAACCTTGATTTACCCCCTACCTTGTGTTGAGTGATTGATTGAAGTTAGTTACCTTGATTTACTCCATACCTTGTGTTGGGTGATTGATTGAGGCTAGTTACCTTGATTTACTCTCTACCTTGTGTTGGGTGATTTACTCCATACCTTGCCTCAAGAAATCGCGCAGCCTTGCTCCAGGCTTTGACTGCATCCGATACGATGACATGCTAACGATATCAGATGCTGATATGTAGAGCATGGCAAGAGAATTTAATACTAGCATCCGAGTGGCCAGATACAAGAGGAATGGCTCCACAGTTAATTGTTCCCACTGCCAAAGCCAAACAAAGACCACTTCAGCATCAGCGGCTATAGAATGATCTCTAGACTTGCACAGTACTTGACTCAAACCTGCGACTAGAATAGGTTTTTGGAATGTTAGAACTATGAAACCCTAAAATGAATGTTGATGAGAGAGGCCAGAGGGGCTGTACTGGATTCCATCCATGATATTGAACAGGATAGAGTGAAATGGAGGAATAGACTACAAGCCTTGTAAAACATCTAATGGCACAAACGGACAATGAATTAATTAATGAATGAATGAAAGTAAGTTTTACCAGTTCATAAGCTTTCTGAAGCCTAACAATTTTATTTACTTTCAGAAAATATTTTTCTTGATTTTTTTTCCAGTTTGTTCTTGATCCATGCATGTTTTCTGCCAGCAAAATTAAAAGAGCATCTGATATGAAAGTACCTTTCCTGCAATGTGATAAGTACTTTCACATCATTTCCATTCCAGAAATCCAAGGTAAGAAAAGCCAGATTTTTTTGTTAGTTGTATGCTTAAACTAGCAGCCATTTAAATTTTATTTAAGATGTGACGCATTTAAATCCAAGTTGGGAAGAGGGAATGCACATTGTTTTAATAAATTGATTGGTCAATCAATTTTTCAGTTAGTGTACTCACAAGAAAAGAGAGAGCTGATTGGTATTGAAAAGGGTCATTAATAAAAATTATTACTGTTTTTATTGTGTTGTTTACTTCATATACTGTGTTGAGTGATTGACTGAGGTTAGTTACCTTGTTTTACTAGGTTTATTGTGTTGAGTGATTGACTGAGGTTAGTTACCTTGATTTACTAGGTTTATTGTGTTGAGTGATTGACGGAGGTTAGTTACCTTGATTTACTAGTTTTTATTGTGTTGAGTGATTGACTGAGGTTAGTAAATGGTTAGCCATGACAGTGTTGTGTGGAGAGGGCATATCAGGAAGGGAATGAGAGTGAAGGAAGAAAGGATTGCAAAAAAGATGAGAGCTGAGCGTCTGAGAAGAAACGGATTAAACATAAATGTTGACAACAATGGTCCTGAAATCCCATGCTATCACTGTGGAAGACTTTTCTTGACACGGGCGGGTCTTGCTAGTCACACTCGCCATTGCCTGTGAGTCCTATGCCTCCTCATAGCACAGTATAACACTGTCGTCTGGAAAGACGGAAAGGTGGCAATCAATCAATCATCGTTAATAAAATTATAAATGGCTGACTTTCAGATATGTACATTTTTGATCTAATGCATTTAAAGATTGATAATTACTTTTTTTCTTCCTTTTCTTGAACACCTTCAGACACCAGTCTCAGTATTAGAAAAACTGGTTAAAGGTTAAAGGGTTGACTTCATCAGGCCCAGTTTTTTGTATCCCACATGGCTAAACTTCTCTCCACAGAAGAGTCTGTTGCCCATGAGAGCAATAAACAAAGCAAATGAATTGAACAGGCAGACAGATTAGCCTGCTCTGCACAACTTGGTGGAATACTGATACAGGATAAGGCAGACGTGGCCTTATAGAAGCAAATGTACAATTTGGAAGAGAAAGTTGATCATCACAGTCTGGTGAGAGTGTGCAGCGGGAAGTGATGAGGGGATTTGGCCGATACTCGATGCTCAGAGGAAAGGCAAAATGGACATATAATCAGACTGCTGCTGGCACTATTGGTATTGGAACTAAGTGTTGGCTGCTGAAGATAAGGACAGAGCGCTTATGGAAATGCCTAGAGTGTTTTGATATCAGTTCTTGAATTAAATCAACTCAACTTTACACAAAGCATGAGATCCTTAGCTCCAGGGATCTTCAGATCATCTGCATTAGATGAACTGATGAAGACAAAAAAGGAACTGGCAACCAGCATACCACAAAACAGGTTTGTTGCATATCCTTTACAGGACGTTGCAGAACCAACCCCAGCATTTTTTGGCTGTTGTGGTTTTTCTGGGCAAATTTAGATCCAGTAGTTTGCCATTGCTTTCTGGATGGTCATTTCTCGATATCACCGTCAAAACCACGCAAGGTGATCGGCCTGCAGCAGGGTCGAACACGGCACCGTAGCAATGCGAAGAGCATTTGTTGCCTAAGCAACAAATACCAAAATATCATGCCACAAGACAAATGATTTAACCATTTCACTATGGAGATCTGCTAACCTGAATACAAGTATGTTTAAAGATAACGGCAAGCAATTTGAGCTAGTTGACATCTCTACAGAGATTGTCCTCACAAAATGTTCGTTTAGGCAAATATTGTTTTCTCTGCTCTGCATAAATTATATAGTGATGTCATAATTATGCTATTTATAATTTTCACTGTACTTTTTTGATAATTCAATAATTATTTTTTTTAACCAGCAATAATGCCACCTGACAACACAACAGACTATGATGAGCACCTGGCCAACAGTGTGAGAGAACTTCAGCATCTAGAAACTGAAATGGGAGTCAGTGTCTTGTTTATCTACACACATCGTAATGTTCCTGACCTGGCTAATGGAGACAAAGTTGTGGACCCCACAAAAGTGTTGGATGACTTGAGATCTGCAGGGTGTAACATGTGAGACCTGTTTTTAGAATGGAGAGGGCACAAGGAAGTCTTTGTTAGTGAGGTGGGGGAGGGGAAAGTGATTCTGAGTCTTTGTGTTAGTGATTGACAAAATTTATAAAGTTAGTTGCATAGCCTAATACTTTAACATTATATTTCTCCATTAATTCTATCACTTTTTTTTCTTTATAATGCTCCGTTTGAATGTAAAATGGTGACAACAGAGATGAAATGCCTTAGAAGAGCTGCAGGAGTTTTCAAGGAAAGACAGAATACAAAATCACAAAATCAGACGAATGCTAGGAATAAAGCCAGTCTTACAACTCACCAAAGAGCAACAAATGAAATGGTTTGGACACCTAACAAGAATGCCCTGGTACTATCTACCATAGCGAGCCACTCTAAAACGTTACAACGGGTATAGAGCAAGTGGAAGACCTCGAAAAATATGGAGTGATGGCATTGAAAGTAGCCTTACAGAAATGAGCATCAGTCTTAATAGTGCTCTTGACAGACACTTCGATGAGGTACAAGGTGGAAGAGAAGAAGAAGAAGTTGCATAGCTTTTATATGATGCTGCAAAACCAGCCGCAGCATTGTTTAAGTGTTTGTGATTTGATTAAAAGTAAAAAGTACAGGACCCTTATCCACACCTTTAGGCATATAGGGCTAGACCTATATTTTTTTAGACCAAACAACACAAGGTGGGTAATGTGGTCAGCATCACGCCGGCCGCCTATACTTCCCGGGACTGCACCCGGTACCCACTCAAGGCTGGGTCAACCTGAGAGTCAGCTCCATTTTAAAAAAAAAAGTCCGGCTCCACCATTGACCAAACCCACAACCTTCTGATCCCCACATGAGCGTCTAACCGCTATGCCACGGTGACTTCCATAGTTTTTAAATGATGCTGGAAAACCAGCCGCAGCATTGTTTGGGTGTTTGTGATTATATTCAGCAATTTTATCTTCAGTAATTGATCATTGATTTCTGAATGGTTGGTGCTACATGCCATGGTTTAAATCAGTGCAAAGCGGTCTACTGCCAAATTAGCTGTAGCTTAAATAAAACTGGGTATTACAAAGTGCATTTGCAACCTTTAGGCCACAGATGCTGACAGACGATATTTATATGAATGAATAAAATTTATTGAATGTGGCTCACAGAGTTTGCAAGTAATAGCAGTTTGTAATTGATTGCAGAAGCAGGTTCACTTGAGTTGAGTTAAGTCAAGAATTGACATCACAGCATTCTGGGCATTCCCATGCGTGCTCTGTCCTCATCTTCAGCGCAGAGTAGAATTCCAATACTGATGGTACCGGTCACAATCTGGTTATTTGTCCGTCTTGTCTTTTCTCTGAGTGTAGTGAGCCGGCAAGACCCTCTGGTTACACCCAGGTGCCTCATTCTCTCCAGGCCAAAATAATCTTCTTTCCCTACTGATTCCGTTGCTTGTTCCCAAAGGGGCCTTGACCACATCTGCCTTGTCATGTATCAATTTACCACCCAGTGGTGCAGATCCAGCCAATCTGTCTGCCTGTTCATTACCCACTACGCCAGCATAGCCTAGGGAAAAAAATCTTGAGCTGATGAGTAAGTGACTAAGAAATTTGGTGGATATTCGTGAAACTTTGTGTGTGTATATTTTATTGATACTGTATACATGCCACGCCAGTCGGCAAGGCACCTGATGATGATACATACATATCCTATTAGTACATTGCACTTGTACAGTTTAGACAAAACTGGAAGTTTTGACAACTGGAAATATCTACTGGAAGAAAGATAGAGAAAGATGTTTAGAGAAGATTCTAGATAGTGTTTTGTCATGGCATGGAAAGGTGTGTCTCCGTCAGATGACAGAGAAGTTAAAACTGTATACACAAGTCAGATGAATGGTCGTAGACCACGAGGCAGTCCAATAAGACGATGGAGAGATAATGTCCAGGCAAACCTGCAGACACTTGGTGTCACCAAGTGGAAAGAGAAGGCCAACTAGAGAGATGAATGGAGGCGGGCGATATCTGCAATGAATCTCAAGGGCTCAGAATGCTGAAGAAGAAGAAGAAGAAGAAGATGGAAATGTGTGGGCAAATGATCTGATACATGCTGTTGGAGATTGCAAAATATGGAGAGACATGAATGCTTGTGCCAACTAGCAAAGCATTTGATGCTGCTGATGTTATCTAGAGCTTTTACTGTTGATGCATGCGCATAAAATGTGGACAATAGGCAGATTAGCTGAGAAACATTTGTTCAGAGCCAGAATGTGGTTTCGGAGGAAATGTAAAGAAACCATAGATAGGGGTCATCAATATCATTTGCCTTGCCAACTGGCGTAGGCGCTCTGGCGTCTCGACAGATCATGATCTCTGGTTGCCTGGAACAGCTCTCTTGATGACATCCTTCCATGCCATCGTTTCAGTCCATCCAGCATTATCTCTCTTGGTCTGCCTCTACCCCTTTTCCCACTGATCTTTCCAGTTGTCACGATGTTCCCCAATATCTCTCTTCTCATTATGTGGCCAAAGAACAGTGTTTGTCTTTTTCTTATTGTTGTATATAGAGATCTACTTTCATTTGCTTCTTTCAAGCAATCGTTGTTAGTTACTCTGGCCGTCCAAGGTAATGGATGGGTGCCCAGCGAAATAACAGATTACTTGGGTACATAGCGCAATCAAGTCATGAACACAATGAGTATAGCGTAAAATAGTGTCACATATTCTCATTTCCTTCTTTCATAGACTGCAGTAAGCTCAGTATAAAATAGTGTCATCTGTTCTCAGATCTTCTTCTTCTTCTTCTTCTTCTTCTCTTCCACCTTGTACCTCATCGAAGTGTCGGGGGGAGATGTAATGTTCGTTGATGAGCTCTGTCAAGAGCACTATTAAGACTGATGTTATTTTCTGTAAGGCTGTTCTTAATGCCATCACTCCATCTTTTCTGAGATCTTCCACTCGCTTTATATCCGTTGTAACGTTTTAGTGTGGCTCGCTGTGGCAGATAGTACCAGGGCATTCTTGTTAGGTGTCCAAACCATTTCATTTGTTGTTCTTTGATGACCTGTAAGACTGGCTTTATTCCTAGCATTCGTCTGATTTCATGATTTTGTATTCTGTCTTTCCTTGAAACTCCTGCAGCTCTTCTAATGCATTTCATCTCTGTTGTCACAATTTTACGTTCATTGGAGGATGTAAGTGTCCACGTTTGGCACTGATAGCATAGTATTGACCAAAAAATAGTTCTGATAAGATTCACTTTAGTACTCCGAGGTATCTGCTTGTGTGTCAACAGGGGAGATAGTTGACCCATTACTTGATTAGCTTTGGCACATCTGGAACTAATTTCTCTGTCTAGTTTTCCGTCTGAAGTAAAAATTGCTCCCAAATACTTAAATTCCTCTGTTTGTCTCAGGGTGTTGTTTTTTAATTTAATTTCTAGATTGTCTTTATGTCTTCCTATCATCATTGTCTCTGTCTTCGTAGTGTTTCTCTTCATATTATATTCCTCCCCTTTGTTACTAATTTGATTTAGGTGGTTCTGTAGGCATTCCATATTTTCTGCTATGAGTACCTGGTCGTCGACGAAAAGTAATTCTGTTATATCTTCTCCCTGATTAAAGTCTGTTTCGCTACATATGGCGTCCATGTATGTTATGAAAAGAAGCGGCGATAGTACACAGCCCTGACGCACACCAGAGTTCACTATAAAAGTTCTAGACAACCCTGCCTTTGATCTTATGCAGCATTCACTACGTGTGTACAGGCTTTTGCAAATATTAATGAGATGATTGCTGATTCCTTTTTTCCCCCTTACATTCCCACAACATATTCCTGTCGACTCTATCGAAGGCTTTTTCTTGGTCTATGAATGTCAACAAACATGTCTTATCATGTTCTATTGCCCTCTCTGATAGTTGTCTCAATGTATAAATGGCATCTGTGCAACTTCTGTTTCGTCGAAAGCCCATCTGTGCTTCTGAAAGTTGATACTCTATCAATGGTCTCAGCCTTTTTTCGATAATCTCAGCATACATTTTCCCAGTGTGACTGAGAAGTGATATTCCTCTGTAATTAGTACATTCCCTCTTACTTCCTTTATTTTTCCACAGCGGGACAATGACAGCAGTTTGCCAATCTGATGGTGTTTCTTGATTTTCCCATGCCAGATCTTAATTTCAATAATTCATGCTGCAATGCGCACTGTAAAAAATAATGCCATTGTTTTCCAGATCATATTGTGATAGCCCAGAAACAGTCAATATGGAATCTATAACATTGGCCATCAAGTCTGCTCAGGTACGAGTGAGCACAATAAATATCTTTGAGCTTTTAAAAACAAATGTTACTGCTCATAGTATAGGAATGTACTGTATGTGTTACTCATATGTGTATGTGTTTTTGCACAAGTCAGTTCAAATAAGGATTCCCAGTATGGGTTTCCAGGCCCCAGTGTGGGGAAAACAAGTATAGACCCACTGCTTGCCCAAAAGCATGTCGTAAGGTTCGACTGATTGGAAGCTTCCTTCAAAGTCTGAGTACATCTGCTTGAGAGGCAATGAACCAACAGTCTGCATGCAGATGAGTCACCTGTGAAATGGATTTGCACACAACACTCAGTTTCTGGAACAGGACTAGAGTCCAGAAGTGGACGTACAACCAAAACTTTCCACCGGAGTTTACAGCCGGTGAACGTGAAGAAGAAGAAGAAATAAGGATGATCCTACGACAGGTTCAGCAAACAGGTAGGGAGTTTATTTTGTTCGGCTGTTACTGCTCAAGAATTATGGAGGAAACTAAAGAAAAAATGTGATTCTATCGCAGCTGAAAAGACTAGAAACACATTGAAGCACACAAAAATCGAACTACACATTTTAAACAATTATATACACCCTCTGACGTCCTTATTAAGACATCCAGACATAAGCAAGACCACCAAGAAACAGATTATAAACAGTGGGTGCCAAACTTGGACATTTTCAAAGGCTAACCATTGTAAAATTAACACCTGTGAAATGAGATTCCTGAGGAAAGTCGCCAACTCAACACAAAGTGAGAAATGATACCATCAAACAGGCTGTAGGTGAATGAATGAATGAATTTCTACCCCACCAGGACATCACACAAGCGATAAACACCCGATGACACAAAGTGCCACCATGTGGATGAGGATCGCCGTGGAGAGGTCCCAGAAACCGCGTTCAGACAATTGGCCATATTTATGGCCTGCCTATATTGCGGCCCCTGGCAAAAGCCAGAGTGGGGCTTCAAATAACAAAAAATTACGTCCTAAAAAGGATGTAAGGATCTTCAGGCTGTAGGAACAACACCATGTACCAAATTCATTGAGAAACATAAGATCAAATGGTTTGGTCATCTCATTAGAAGTCAGCCTGAATGCTACACATGAAAGGATCTAATGTGAAAGCAAGAAGTCGCCCTAGTAGAAGATGGAATAATGACATTAAAGACCTTCTAAATCGACATGGAATGACAATAGCCCATCAAGCAATAGATCACATGGCGTTTAATGGAAAAGTGGCAATGTCTGATGATGATGGCCCTTAGAGATTAGATAGCCAAATTTGGGGTTCATGTTCTGAGTGGATTTTTTTTTCAACTGAAGGATTCTTTTACAATCTGCACCACTGGGGGGGTGAATTGATACACAAGGCAGATGTGGTCAAGGCCCTTTGGGAGCAAGTAACAGAATCAGTAGAGAAACAAGATTATTATGGCCTGGAGAAAATGAAGCACCTGGTTGTAACCAGAAGGTCTAGCCGGCTTGTTACATTCAGAGTAAAGGCAAGACGGACATATAACCAGATTATGACTGGTACCATCAGTATTGGAACTCTGCGCTGGCTACTGAAGATGATGATTAAGCACGCGTGGGAATGCCTCGAGTGCTGTGATGTCAATTCTTGACTCAACTCAACTCACCACTTTTACAAAAATGAACATCATCATGAAGAAAAATTCAAGAATTGTCTTTAAATGTCTGCTTACTAAAAAGCTGTGCTTGACCCGTTTTTCTGCATGGATATTCAGCATGGATAATGAGTAATGCAATTTTAAATAATTTAAATACTTTAGAAGGATATTTAAAACATCGCAGAGAGTAAAGTAACCAATAGTCTTTTTCTTCTCTTCCACCTTTTACCTCATCGAAGTGTGGGGGGGGGGGGGGGGAATGTAATGTTCGTTGATGAGCTCTGTCAAGAGCACTATTAAGACTGATGTTCATTTCTGTAAGGTTGTTCTTAATGACATCACTCAATCTTTTCTGAGGTCTTCCACTGGCTCCAAACCCGTTGTAACGTTTTAGTGTGGCTCGCTGTGGCAGATAGTACCAGGGCATTCTTGTTAGGTGTCCAGTCCAAACCACTTCATTTGTTGTTCTTTGGTGACCTGTAAGACTGGCTTAATTCCTAGCATTCGTCTGATTTCATGATTTTGTATTCTGTGTTTCCTGAAACTCCTGCAGCTCTTCTAAGGCATTTCATCTCTATTGTCACAATTTTATGTTCATTGGAGGATGTAAGTGTCCACGTTTCGCATTGATAGCATGGTTTTGGCCAAAAAATAGTTCTGATAAGATTCACATTGTAGCAGAAACTGATCTAATGTTGGAAAATCTAGGCGTGAGAAGCAAAGAAATGCAGAATATGTTGTAGTAACAAGCATAAGTCAGCATTTAGGGTTTAGGGGCTATTAATGAAGTTTCGTAATTCTCACATACCAAGTTTGATACAGCTGCAGGTGATTTGGCAGCAGATTCTGGCAATTGCATAAGCATCAGAACTTCAAAAAATGGTGGCAAAACTACTGAACTTTAAACTGCCTAGTAAAGCCACCAATCTCTGGTTTGGTTTGTGATTTTCTTGAAAAGGAAATGCAACTAACAGTTTTCTTTTTTAAAAGCTCAAACATATGGGCAACAAATAAAAATAAAAGAAAAATCAACTTAATTAAAACATAAAATGCTTAAAAAAGGAGCTGAATGGTCATAGACCACAAGGCAGACCAAGAAGACGATGGAGAGATATATTCAGACAGACCTACAAACACTTTGTGTCACCAACTGGGAAGAAAAGGCCAACCAGAGAGATAAATGGAGGCGGGTGACATCTGCAGCAATGAACCTCAAGACTCGGAATGCTGAAGAAGAAGAATTCCAAAAAAGATGTGTCATGATCACTAATATCTACCCTAAAACAGGCACCTCACAAAGTCAGTTTTATTAACTGGTAGCATTTATTTGTAAACATTTCCTTTAAAGTGACAATTATAACCGAGAGGATCAACTTCATTGCCCCAGGTTATCCCATATGGTTATGGTTTGGTCTTTCTGTGCAGAAAGGCTAACCATCTGCTGAGAACGTAACACAAAGCATGAACTCCGTTGCTCCAGCCATGATAACCAAGGATCTGTGTGAAAATTGTACTCATGAACTGAAGAACACGTCCAGGAAATTGTCTTTGACCTTCAGAACATGAGGCAAATTGCTTGACCATCTCTCTCTGGAAAAGATTAAGACCCGAAGGCAAGTTATTGCCAACATCAGAAAAAGGCAGTTATCATTTTTGTGGCTATCTTATAGAAGAGAAAAACTGGAAATATGACAACTGGAAAGATGTGTAGAATAAAAGAGGAAAACATCAAGAAAATATTCTTGAAGCTTAATTTGGTCACGGTGTAGAAGGGTGTCTGCTGTCGGAGATGGCAAGACGCGGTGATGCATGATCGCTCATGCTGGTTCATGCTAGGTGGTGGGAAGCGGAGATGTGGAACAAAATGGTTGTGCATTATGACCAAGGCTCTACTGGTCAAGATCTGTGTACACCACTCCCCGGTCATCCAAGAAACAAATTCCTAAGCGGAAGCCTGGCCAGTGAAGATGGGATCTGTGTTTTTATCAGGGTCAGTGTGCATCGGCCCCATTGTGGGGAGGACAATAATAGACCCACTGTCTCCCTAACAAGCATGTCATAAGAGTCGATTAATTTGGGGGTTCCTCTGAAGTCAAAGTGTATCTGCCTGAGAGATAAGTCACCAGCAGTCTGCATACAAATAAGTCAGATCTGTAAAATGGATGTGCATGCAACACTCAGGTTCTGCAACAAGTCTAAAGTCCAGAGGTAGATGAACAATCAGAACTTTCTTCTGGAGTTTACAGCCAGTGAGTAGAAAGAAGAAGTGTGTATCTACGTAAGAGGCAAGGAAACAACAGTCTGCATGCAAATAAGCCAATTCTGTAAAACGTATGTGCATGCAGCACTCAAGTTCTAAGGTGGACGAACAACTGGGATTTTCTGCAAAAGTTTACAACTGATGAATGTTAAAAAAAAAAAAAAAATTTTTTTTAAGCGGTTAAAACACTACCTGATGATGATCGTTAAACATAGTCAGTGTATCTATAAACACACACATTCTTTGTTTCGCAGATTGTGCTTTTAGGTATATCAGAAGAGTTTGTATCAGACGCTCACTGCCGTAGCTTGATCACCTACATAAAAAACACTTTGCACAAAACTATTATCGTGCTGGCTCTTGGTACAACAATGAACTGGCAAAAGACAGATATCAACTTGATCCTTGGTGACGAGGTGAGTACTGTTGTATATTTAAGCTTTTCTCAAAGTATTCTCATGAAACCTTGGTACTCTGTATTTAAAGTTAATTGTGGTGTCCCTTTGGTTTAGTTGAACCACTGTGGTATTAATTACAACCAGTAGTAGTAGTAATTTTTCAATAATATCCTGTTCAACACTCAGGGTTATAATTGGGATATATATAGTGTTAATGGAGTTCTCAGAACATACATTTGTTATATGAAATTTATATAAAATGTAATTTGTATTGTTTCACATTTTGCTTTGATTTGTGTTGTGATTATGATAGAAATTGTACTATAAATAATTAGACAATCTTACTTACATTGAGTCATTAACATGGTGGAAATATTGTTTTCGTGGTGTGCAGTTATTGATTATTCTCCACTATTTTTATCATTGATAAAAAGAAAGAACTCCCTTTCCAGAATTACATTAATTAATAGCATCAAGAAGTATATTTCTAGGTCATCAGTAATTAAAATGAATTTAATATCCCAACAAAGTTTTTGTTTATGTATATTTTAAAGTACTATTAGCATAATAGCACATCCTCTTCTTTATTCTTCTTCATCTGAGTGCAATAATTGTGTTGTGCCTCTTTACAGCATAGCTGCAATATTTCACCTTTTGGCTGACACATCTGACTTCTTCAGGCATTTGTTGGCCAGGTTAGCCTTTTAGGCTGGTTTAGTGGGACACGATGTAGTCTTATTTGTGTGGTGTTCTCTTTGTCTCTTTATCTACCAGTGTTGCCCCCTACAGAACCCATCCATGGCAAATGCATGCAGACTATTCAGCCCTTAATGAAAGGCAGAGGACTATTATGTGCATTTTCTGCCATCCAAAGAGGTTTCCATAAATGCAGAGCTAACACATGATGCTCTAATCCTGGGCTCACCCAAGGAATTGCCACTTCCTGCACATGTCTGCTTAACCTTACATTGGTATGTTGGGCTTCCCATTCATCATCGCTGCACCTATTGGAGATCAACAAGGAGCAGCTCACAGGTTCAGACTTCAAAGATCACACAAATGGGTAGTCTTCTTCAGCATGTCAGACACCTTTAACATTATTGCAATGAGTTTGAGACACTCAGCACAACAATGTAGGAAAAGCATGCCTTACCAAGCTGGTCCTGTCACTCTGAAAAGTTAGGCCAGTGAAAGTGGGCATTTGAACCTTGTCTGTCAGTCAATAGGATATTTGATGATCATACTTTTGGTCCTGACACTCAGATAAATGGGGCCAGTGGTAGCGGATATTGAACCTTGTTTGTCCCACATTAGGGCATTTGATGGCTGACCTTCCGAGCCTTGCCTGTCACTCAAAAAGACATTTAGTGTTCGCACATCTAATACATTGCTGTTATGCTGTATGACCCAGCCATGAGATACTACCTGCAGGAGATGTTGTTCATCTAAGCTCCGAACTAATCTCTTGGTCTTAAATTGAGTCTCCACAGTTCGCTGTGAGGTGGCTGCTCAGCTGATTATGACTGCGACATCTGACTGACAGACATTTGAGCCTAATCAGCAATTTAGTAACACTTTCAGTTGACAGATGTTTGAACCATGGTTTTTTCATATAGTAGCATATTCGGTCAGCTGGCTTCACTTCAAATGAGTTTTTAGAAGACCCTGTCACCCAGGCATTGGGAGTGGGCTGAGTAGAGCCAGAGGATTTCTGGACACTGCATCTCTGGGAGCTACTAACTTCGAGATCATCTGCCAGCTAGGTTTAGGCTAAAAGACAGTACCCTTAGTGCACGATGAGGACATGTGGCAGGAGTCTTGCATGAGGATTTGTAAAACAGCACAGAATCTGCTGGTACCCAAGGTGAGGTGCAGAGTATCTCCTTATACACATCACAATGGCCTTAACTTTTTCTTCTTCTTCTTCTTCTCTTCCACCTTGTACCTCAGCGAAGTGTTTGGGAGGGAGGGGGGGGGGGGGGGGGGGGGGGGGTTGATGTAATGTTCGTTGATGAGCTCTGTCAAGAGCACTATTAGGACTGATGTTCATTTCTGTAAGGCTGTTCTTAATGCCATCATTCCAAATTTTCTGAGGTCTTCCACTCGCTCTATACCCGCTGTAACATTTTAGTGTGGCTCCCTGTGGCAGATAGTACGGCTTGATGCGGCAGATAGTACCAGGGCATTCTTTCTAGGTGTCCAAACCACTTCATTTGTTGTTCTTTGACGACTTGTAAGACTGGCTTTATTCCTAGCATTCGTCTGATTTCATGATTTCGTAATCTGTCTTTCCTTGAAACTCCTGCAGCTCTTCTAGGGCATTTCATCTCTGCTGTGACAGTTTTACATTCATTGGCAAAAAAGTGTATGCATTTGTAAAGACTTTTAGCCTTTTTTGCTACATCTGCAGGTTTTTGTGAAGATGACAGAACTCTCACGATATGAGTCAAAACTATCAGAGTTACTGGACACGATCAAAACTCGTAGCCAGAAGAAAAAGGTTTGTGTCTATAGAAATATTATAAGAAATGATACAGTTGCTTTCATATGAAACAGTGAAATCTATGAATCAGATGACAGACAATGTACAGAATGGATTGCAAAGGAAATGCACATGATGGGTGGAAAAAGAAAGAAAATGCAAAATACAGATATCAGAATACTTGAAGTAGTCTTCTTCTTCTTCTTTCGTTCGCCTGAAATAAGTTGTCTATATCAGCAATTTTGTCTCTTAAATAAATTTCACTGTTGTTGTTAATTCATTCAGTGGTCCATAGAGTTTACGTTCCACTGTTGTTCTTTCTGGCCAAAAGGTTTGTCTTAATGTATCAAATTCGGTGCAGTCCTGGAGTACATGCTCTGCTGTTGAAGTAGTAATAAACAAATCATTTGGTTAAATCAGAAGAAAAGAAAAAAAAAAGCTCACTGCTCCTTAACAAGCAAGTTGTAACAAGTGAATGATTACAGTTTTGCTGAAATCAAACATGTTGGACTTAAAGGTATAGATATCACAGCCAATCTGTAAACCACAACACAATGTGCCAACCACCATTTTATGGAAACCACTATTTTATGGAAACCACCATTTTGCGGGTGAACGCAGAAGAAAAAGAAATGCATAACGACTGGAAACATGTATGGAAAAGACACATTTCATTTGCAAAATGAAGCTGTCCAAAATGGGCGCAAGGTTCGGAGTTCCCTATGTTAAACTTCCTCACATAATGGGAGTTCACAGAATGCAACACAACAAGCATTGTCATATACATCTTGAGAACACCGTTAGAAAGAGCTGTAGAAGTTAAAACAGATCTGTATTTATGCTTCATAGTCTACTTCAGGGCTATATAAGTTCACTCATTGGCCAAAATGTGGAAAATGGGGTATGTCATAGGTCAGAGACCCAGGCCCCAGCATAAAAGGATCATTAATACAGTACAACTATCAGTGATCCGTGAGCCACTTGCTAGGCCTCCGCTGGCCGCCAGTTGAATAGCCCTGGTTTACATAAACAGCTGATTACAAGGTAGGTATTTAATAAAATTATATAACTATTAGAATTTGTTGGTTAGTTGGGTTATCATCATTGCAATCCATACATGTCCATAGATGCTCAAATCCTACCATCAGTATGAACCCCAGTGTCCGGTGGCTAATAGTACCAGTTCTATGTTGATTAACAAGTCCTCTGATGTGCCTGGTATACATCTCGTTTTTTTGCTATGCCGATCTTAACTACTAAGTCTATCATTCTGGTGAGTGACGTGGATTCGCTGCCCCCAAAGTCCTCCACCCTTCCCATTTCTCAGAAGGCATTAATAATATCAGCATGATCCATAGGTTGACCGTCGGTAGAAATGACAGAACCAGCCAACCTAGAAGCTCTTTCATTCCCATCGATGCCGACATATCCCAGAATGAAAATAAAGGTGACTCCATGAACAGTGGACTAAGTTAACAACTCAAGCCACTGTCTTCACACCAAACCTGCCTGAACCCTCCCGAGCTGGAACTATTGAACATCAGTGGCAGAAATCTGCCTAATTCACTAAATGAGTGAAAACTGAAATTTTGTCAATATCTTTTGCAGTTGGAGGCAATTTCAGAACTTGTTCTTTATCATCAACCCACTATACCTTTATTAGTTAATCCAAATAGCATATTCTCTTATGACTCTCTTCTACCGCATTTAGTTGTTGCATTAGCTTATTCTTAGTTTTAACACCTAGTTTTGCAGTTCCTCTTTAAACTAAGAAAGTATCAGAATGTAATGAATTAAAGTAATTACTGGTTGGTACTGAAAAAAAAAAATAACTAGCCGTCAAACAGTTTCTTAATAAAGGATAAGTTCACATGTTCAGAAATACATCTTTCATCTTTGATTGTTTCTCATTTTTCCAGGTAGTTTATCCAGAGTGCTTCATTAGCTACTCTTGGGCCAACTCCAAAACAGCTGTAGAACTTGGTTCTGCTACAGCAGAGGGAGCCATCGGCTGGGGTGATCCTCGTAAGATCAAGGAGTTTTTGCAGTCAAAAGGAGTTAACTGTTGGTTAGATGTAGAACAAATGGGACAGGTAATAGTCTGCAACAAAGCCTAGTATTTGTATAATTGCAGTCAACATTGTGTTTTAGGAATTTATAATCAGCATTGAATACAAATAATAGAATGGCAGCCGCTGTGGTATAGAGACAAGACACTTGCCAGCTGGCCTGAATGTCGTAGGTTCAAGTCCTCATTGAGTCTGATTTTTTGGGTCATAAATGACCTTGGCTTCTAGGTTACCCCAGCCTGATATGGGTATTGGGTAAAGTCCTGGGAAGTAAGTGTGGCTAAGATGCTGTTGAATATATCACATAACAAGTGTCGATTGGTCTATAAAATATGAGTCTAGCTATATATAACCAGTGGCCCATAAAGCGCAGAAAAGCTTGTTGTTTTTTTCTCATTGGAAAAGAACACTAAAATACAGATGCTGTGGGCACCTATCATTATTTCCAGACAATAGGGTTACATTGTGTTATAGGGAGGCATGTAAATCACATTAAGAAAAAGTAAATAATGATAAAGAGGTGAAGAAAAGACGCTGGCGTTGGATAGGACACACACTGAGAAAACCAGAGAACAGTATAACTGGAATGTCTTTGCGCTGGAACCCACAGGGGCAAAGGAATAAAGGAAGGCCAAAAAACACATGGAGAAGGGAGCTGGAGAATAAATAAGGTTAGAAAGATGGGGAGGACATGGGGAGAGCTGCATGCAATAGCAAAAGACTTGACGTGAGTTGGTTGAGGGCCTATGCTCCATTTAGGGCTAGAAAGGCAGAAGAAGAAGAAGTAAATCACATAGAGATGGAATGGTATATGTCACGATAAGAGACCCAACCATTAGAGTGACCTCCCTTCCCATTGATGCCTCTATCTGGAGTAGAGCCTCTACTATGTCGCAGGGGTTTCAGGCGTACGGAGTCGAATTTTCCTCCTAGTTGTCAGCGGCCGGCAATATTGCATCTTCTATGCTGTGAGCGATTCTAACAGTCCCAAAACCTGTTCAACTGAGCCTAACCCCCCCCCCCCCCACCCACCATTCCGCAGCCTCAGCCCATTTCCCAGGACTGTATGCAGCCTCTATTACACACTGTATAAAGCCTTGCGAACTAGGATGCCCCCCCCCCCCTCTCCCGCCACATAGTAGAGGCCCACACCAGATCGAGGCATAAATGGAAGGGTAGGTCAACTCTCACTGTTAGGTCTCTTAACATGACTAGAAGCGATGGGATTAGCAAGACCTACTCACATTAGAAAGTCTTCCAGAATTTAAGTGTCTGATTTCATGACCCTTGTTACGCTCACATGAATTTAGTGTGTTGTAAAAATACAATCATTATATGTAATATGCATTGGTTTCTTTCAAACAGTAAGTTAATATGTTTATTAGATTAATAAAACTTGGTGCATGGTTTGTTAAGTTAAATTTAAGGACAGGATTATATCTTTTAGTTTCATCATTAACCAGTAGCTTCCTCGTTTGGGTTCTGGGGCCCCATTATGGGGAAAATAAGAATAGACCTTCTGCCTCCCCAGCAAGTGTGTCGTAAGAGTCAACTAACTGGGAGCTTCCTTCAAAGTTGGAGTGCATCTGCCTGAGAGGCAATGAAGCAACAGTCCGCATACAGATAAGTAAAACAGATGTGCATTCAACACTCAGGTTCTGAAACAAAAATAAAGTCTGGAGGTGAACGAAAATACAGAACTTTCTGCTGGAGTTTATAGCTGGTGAATATGAAGAAGAGGAGAAGAAGACAGGTAGCTTGTACCATACAAAAATTTCTTCCTTTGGTCTTTCCTGGAAAGAAAAAGGCCCAATTTGTTGTTCTCATATATAAATAGTGTATCACTTCTTAAAGCTAGCTAATTTGTGGTCTGCCCTCTTTTCCACTTCACTGGAACTCTTTATTTCATGATTATTTTTTCAAGGCCTTGAGACCCTTTTTTTTTTTTGGTATGCTAAAAAAATTTCTTTTCAAATTTTAAGTTTATTACATTCAGTTTTCTGTAACTGTTTAGTAACGCACCATGACAAGATATACAGCGAAATATGTCTGGCAATAAACTGTGCAATGTATTGTTTGTGTCCGCATTATTTAGGTTTTTAAATTTTATTGACCCTAGACAGATGCTGAGTTCTTGTTAAATTCATCATTTTGTTCTGTTTCTCATCTGAGGCATTATAGGGACTTTTTTTTAAACACATATATTAAATGTATCTTCAACTTACAAAATTGTATTAAAAAATCACAAAGCAATGGAGTTGCCGTCTTGCTAACTTGATACTACTGCATGTATAATACATTTAATGCACATTAAATATTATTTTTTTTTTTGTCTATTCAGGAAGGATTTTTTGAGGATATTGCAGATGGTCTGAGAAAAGCTAAAGTGATGATAGCTTGTGTCTCAGATGAGGTAAGTTCTAAGGACACTCTGGATTAGAGTTGTAAACAAAATGATTGTCAGATTCCTTCAGTGCTGGTTTGTTTATTATTCAAAATATTTTAAAGATAATACAGTAGACTCTGTTTCTCTCTATTACCACAGTCTGGTGAGATTGATGCAGTTGGGGGTGACGAGAGGTTCTTGCAGATGCTCGAGGCTCAGAGGAAAGGAAAGATGGACGTTTAGTCAGAAAGCTACTGGCACCATTAGTATCGGAACTCTTCGTTGGCTGCTGAAGATGGGGACGGAGCGCTTATGGGAATGCCCAGAGTGCTGTGATGTCGGTTCTTGAATCAAATCAAATCAAATCAATCTCTCTATTACTAAATGATTTGCCATCATTATCAATTGCCATTTTTGTCTTTAAGCATTCTGGGGAGAAACAGTTTTTGATCCATCACTTGATGGGCAGCAATGCTTTTGTCAATCAATGTTGATGCCGAAATTCTTTAATATCGTCATTCATTTTCTCCTAGGGCAACCTCTTGCTTTCAGATCATTTAATATGTAGCGCTTTTGATGGTAATTGTTCTGGCTGTATTCCAACGAGGTGACCAAACCATTTGATCTTCTGTTACTAAATGTTTATAGACATTCAGTTCTGCAAACCTCTGTCATATTTCTAACATCTTTTATGTTCCTGTTTCCAGGTAATTATTTTTGTTGTTTATGTTTATGTTAATGTTTATTCAACAGATCAATATCATATCACGGGTGTAACCCATAAGTGCTTCGTTCTTCTTCTAACTCAAGCCTGAGTCTGAAGAATCTCAGCATAGTGCATAAACTCCGTAGCACCGATGAGGATCCTGAAATACTTTAGATAGATTTTTTAACTCCATATTTTTCCCGGGCAGCGCCGTTAGGCTGCTCTTTTTCTATTTCCAACTGCCAAGGTCTTTTTTTTGTGTGTGAGCGTAACAATACACACAGGCATCCGGTCTTACTACCCAGAGATCAGGGGAAATTGCTAGAAGTCCACGTGAAAAAATCTCAGCCTTCACCGAGGTTTGAACCTAGGACCTCTAGCAATCAAGGCAGATGCCATACCTCGAGACCCACTCAGTTGTCTATATCTATTGACTAGAGTAACCATATTGTCCCGTTATCGCTGGGACAGTATCCTTTTTAGGGAGACCCAAACCGTCATGTCAGTACCCTCAGTTGGGGCAATATACTTTTTTAGTACATGTGATGGTCTAGATAGACTTTTTAAATTATTATTATTATAATGCAATGAGCTGGGAATACCTAAAAATAAATTGCTGTCCCCTTAAAAACAGGATGATGTGGTCTCTACTGTTGGCTGCCTTATGCATTTAATGCATGTGCATGCCATTGGATTGGCCTTGCTGACACTTCAGTCTGTGTCAGGTTTTTCACAAGCAGAAATGATGGGTATTCTGTGTGGTTTTTGCTGGCACAGTAACAGGGCAACAATTTGCCATGAAGTTGGTACTGTGGAACTATAACTGTCAAACTATAACTGTTGACAGCTGTATTCATCATCAGCCTTTGTGTGCCGTTAGACTTCATACAAGGCTCATATTTGATTCCTGCATTCGGCTCAATTCAATGCAACTCTCTTGATTTCTGACATGGGTTTCAGCCCAACATTTTTATCTTTTTGTAATAATATTATTCTTAATTTTTCCCTTGAACGTCCTCTTTTTCTCAGACCATTTGTTTCCCATTTCAGTGCTTATTTTGTAATTCTTTGCTCATTTCATATTTAATTGTGCCCAGTATATCTCCACATTCTTTGTCTTACTGCACTCAATACAGATATTTGTCCAGATATTTCTCTGATCTTCTCATCCTTTTTTAATTCATCCCATTTTATGTTCATTTTTCTCAGACATTTCCTTTCAAACACCTTAATTTTCTGTGCTAACAGCTGTGTTAATAATTTTTATTTCTGTTGCCAGCAGTTTGGCATAATCACCCCTGCTTACCAGCATGAGACAAAATTATGGTGACCTATTTACTGACATAACTTTTTTATGGCTAAACTTTTCTATTGTCATTTCCAGTATGCCATTTCCAGGAATTGTAGGATGGAGTTCCGTTTTGCAGTGTCCAGTCTGAAAATTCCAACTATTCTGGCCGTTGTTGGGACAGGATATATTTGGGAGAGAAGTGAGGTAAGTTAGCATTGTGTGTGTTTATTCATGCCTGTGCATGCAGTTGTATGCTTGATGAGGCGGGCAGACTGACACAGCAGTGAACACATTCATTTCTTTTGTCGTCTCACTGATACCTGGTTGTAGCCCAGTGTTGTGGTTTACTGTATTTGTTTTGTGCTTCTCATGTGGCTTGGGTGATGGATTTGTTCATCTTTTTTGCGGGTTTCAGCTACATCATTTATCTATCTCTTTCTTCCAGATGTTCTGCTGTAAAAAGTCTCAAATGCAATTTGGCCTGGCTGCATTCTCGCTAGCTGACAGAACCATTTCATTCTTTGTCAGTAAATTCCAGACAGTCTTATTCCAGCTTTGTTAGTGACCTTGCAGAGACAGCGCATTTTACCTGTTGTTATGTTCTGTTCTAGTGCCCTATTCATTGTCCATGTTTGGCACTGATAACATAAAGTAGGGATAAAGATGCTATTAATCATTTGCTGTTTTGCTGTAAGAGAGACATTTGGATGTCTCAGCAGTGAACACACAACAGTAAAATAAAATAACCTAGAATGTGATAAAACAGGCAGACCAACTGGAGAGTGAAAAAAAAAAAAAAGGATGAGAAGGATATGAGATGAGCTGCCTGCAATAGCAAAGGATTAGATGACCTGGCTAGTTGAGGGCCTATGCCCCATTGGGGGATAAAAGGCAGAAGAAGAAGAATTTGTCAACTGTAAAAGAAGTAAAACTAGCACAAGAAAATGTACTATTATTTTTGTTCACCCCATCTCAGGAAATTGAGATTTCCTAGGGAATTTCCAGAAAAAGTCCAGAATCATTGGGGAATTAGGGTTAGTGTTGGTCAGTGTTCATTTCACACACTTACGCCCCTAAATTATTGAACTTTCCCGACTTTCTAGACAGCTGGTTAGTTTATAACTGAAAGGTGCACTAAATTAGTTAGTTAGTCTTTCCTCTTGAGCCTAGGGCAGCGCATAGGGCAGAGGTCATAGCTGTTCACTTCTGGCGGTTTCTTGCCACCTGTTATAGGTCTTGGATGTTTGACTGGCTCCAGCTGATGTGCCATGCTGCTGATGTCACCAAACTGTGCTTATGATACGTTAGCACAGCGTTTCCTAAACCGGGTGCGTCGGAACCTAGGGGCGCCGCAAGCGTATGTCAGGGGTGCTGCAACAATAATAAGAATCTTTCCAAATCTGCTTGGCATTAAATTTGCAGTTTCTTTTGCTTCTTTTCTTAAGTATTCAAACCACTTTAAGGGTAGGTGTGCCGGGAATTTTTTTTTTTTGGGGGGGGGGGGGGCACAACGAAAAAAGTTTGAGGAACACTGCATTCACATATCCTTAGCCCAGTTTGGTGAAGTCAGCAGCATGGCCCATCAGCTGGATCCGGTCTTGGTTAGGCCCATGGTTGAGCCTTTCCCTTTTTCTTTGGTTAAGTGGAGATTAGTTTGTCTGTGTGTGGTCTCATATTCATCTAACTCTTGAATCAAAAATATGCTGAATCAAAAATATACAGTCTGTGAACCCAGTACTTTGAAGAGCTCCCAGGTAGACCAAGACTTAAATGGATATAAGGAACTTTTGTGAGAAGTAAAGCCAGCTGACTTGATATTGATCACTGCACCCATTGAGTGCTGACTGGTCTATACCAGTATGGATTTCATTTTCTTCTTATTCTTATTTGCATTTACCGGCTGCAAACTCTAGTGCAAAGTTCTGTCTTTCCATCCACTCCTGGACTTCAATCTTGTTTCAGAACCTGTGTTTTGAATGCACATCCATTTTACAGATCTAGCTTATTTGTACGCAAACTGTTGGCTGCCTGCCTCTCAGGCAGATGCACTCAGACTTTAAAGGAAATTGGTTGACTTTTACAGCATGCATGCTGGGTGTCAGTGAGTCTATCATTCTTCTCCCCTAAAACAGGGCCCCGGAACCCACATGGGGAAAGACCCGACACAGAGAAAGTTCCTTTAGCTTTAATTGCTTGCATGATCATTGTTTTCAGATTGGACTTCTGACTGTTGGTCATAGCTTAATGTGCCCCAAGATTAACCTTCAGTATGAGAACGAAGCTGGATTGTTAGATCTGCTTAAGGAGGTTCAGAGATTTCTGCCCAAGTCAGCAGACGCTGGAGCTGTGGATGCTTCGGCAGATATCACTTTAAAACAGTCTGCTGCATTTCAGGTACAACTATTATAAATATTTATTCTGTTACAAAAATGTAATTTCCTAACAAATTCCAAAGTTATGATAAGTTTCTGGGTTATTTTAGCACTCAGGGGCTCTTAGTTCTCACAGAGTGCTAAACAAAATTTCAGAGAAATAATGGCCAAAAAATGAGCCATTACTATTTACTTTGTACAGTTATATACAGACTGTAACTGTGATGATTTCAATATAGCTTAGCCATAGTATAGTACAGTCTCTTTGTTTAGAGCACGTTCCTTCTCTTACACCTTAAATACAGTAGCAATGGGACATTGTCTGTGTAATAAATTCATCAGAATCGCTAGATTCAGAACAGCTGATCCCTCAGCTTCGCTGGTAAAAAATCACTGCCTGAATCACTTTCTAAGAAATCTAAATTGTATTTATTATTATCAGAATTTAAAAAATCTGACTGAAACAATTTCAGAGCTTCGGCCGCAGAAAGGCACATTCTGTGACCAGTACTTGTGGTGGGAACATTTGTATTCATGGCACTCAAAAACGAACTTAGAAAATGCACTGTTGAAATAAATTTTGCTGTAAATCCGATAAAATTATGCATGTGTGGTTTCTGATAGGGATATTATCTGAAAGGATTTCAGCAGAGTGACTTTCCCTGAATAGTTAAATCATACTTCAGAACATTAGAAACAAGTAAAGAGCCGTGTGCGAAGCAAAATGTACAGGATACACGATGGACGATGACAGCGTTGTTTGGGCAAAACGGAACTTCTTAATCAACGCTCACGCCATTGCTTGGGCCTTAAAGAATTAAAGAAAACAAGTAATGGCATGTTGAGTATATGGCATGTTGAGTATATGGCATGTTGAGTATATGGCATGTTGAGTATATGGCATGTTGAGTATATGGCATGTTGAGTATATGGCATGTTGAGTATATGGCATGTTGAGTATATGGCATGTTGAGTATATGGCATGTTGAGTATATGGCATGTTGAGTATATGGCATGTTGAGTATATGGCATGTTGAGTATATGGCATGTTGAGTATATGGCATGTTGAGTATATGGCATGTTGAGTATATGGCATGTTGAGTATATGGCATGTTGAGTATATGGCATGTTGAGTATATGGCATGTTGACGCTGTTCAGTGTGTGATAAACCATGCAGAAAATACTGTTTATCACACTGAACAGGCAACTGCTAAGAATTGCCGAACTTTAATAATAAAAACCAACAACCCCCTCTCCTTTGTAAGCAGATGGAATTTTTATTAAATTTGAAGTTACCCTGGTAAGTCTCGTGACTACGGTGTGCTTCCGGCGACTAAACAAACCAGGATGCGTCACACACACAAAAAAACTATTCACATTTCAGTTGGATTTATTCAGTTTTTGTGCTTCATTTTATTTTGATGCAACTCTGTAATGCACCTGACGAGATACTGCAAAATATGCCTGGCAATAAATTGTGCAATGTATTGTTTGTGTCCAGATTTTTTAAATTTATAACAAGAAAACATTGTTTTGAATAGACTCATTGCTTTCCATAACATATAGCATGTCCTAACAGACAACTAATTAATGATGTGTTGAAACTGGATATGTTAGGCTGATGTTGCAGCCTAGCACACTGTCCTAACCATCTTCTTTACGGAAAAATGCTGAAGAAGAAGAAACAGTAGTAAGTTTGAACAAGGGATCAACATCATGACACAAGGGTAGTAACCTATAAGTGCTCAATTCTACTTCTAACTCAAGCCTGAGTCTGAAGAATCTCAGCACAGTGCACGAACTCTGTAGCACTGGTGACCACAACTAGTCAAACTCTGGTCTCCTAGATGAGAATCCAATGTTGTAACTGCCTGATCAGACACTACTCTGCTGTCTTTAAGATGGTATCTTCTTCTTCTTCTACGCGTTCACTGGCTGTAAACTCCAGCAGAAAGTTCTGGTTGTTTGTCCACTTCTGGACTGCAGTCCTGTTCCAGAACCTGAGTATTGCATGTGCATCCGTTTGACAGATCTAACTAATTTGTATGCAGACTGTTGGTTCCTTGCCTCCCAGGCAGATGCACTTTGACTTCGAAGAAAGCTCCCAGTTAGTCGACTCTTACAACATGCTTTTGGGTAGTTAGGGGGTGTATTGTTTTCCCTATAATAGGGCTCCGGAAGCCACACAGGGATAAGATGGTATAAATTGAATATTATATTTTTTTGCTTGCATGTTGGGGGTGGGTGGAGGGAGAGTGAGATAATGCAGTCCTCTAAATTAGCTTTACTGTATTACCAATTTTGAAACTTTATTTTTTTTTAATTCCTGCAGGAAGCACTGGAGTTGGCTCAAAGAAAAATGCTGCGCCATATTGTTTTATACTCCGGCACAATGGACTTTGAGGCATATCCAAGGCTGATCATGATTGATCTTAATACAAACAGCTATGGCTTGAAAAGCAAGGCTGATCAGCGGGCAACAAAGGACAGAGATGGAGCTGAAATACACCATGAGAAAGACATTAAAAATAAGAATAATATTGACCAAACCAATAGTGACAGTGAGACTGAAGAAAGATGTAGTAAATACTGCTTCAGACTGTTGTGTGAATCTGAACAAGGTTGGCATGAGAGCCCTGTGACCATTTCTTTTCCCCAAATGGAGGCAGCAGCAGAAGAAGAATTCTTGAGAAGTGTGTCGCCATACACAGCCAGAATCTTGGCCATTCTGAAACACTGTAAGATAAATCTCCCTGTACTAACAAGCCCAGAAGGGGAGCAGCTTTGCAGGCAGATAGAAGAGGTAAGGATTGACTTTTCAAATTACCATCAGGTCACTGTCAATAAAAATAGAAACCCATTTGTCATAAATCATAATGTGGTAATTGTCATATTCAACAGTTTGATCAGAATTTGACGCCCAACACTGGCATATTGGCTTTTAGGTTATGCTTATTATGTGCTCCGTCCCCCTCAGAAGATGTCAAAGAACATTGATTCTTGGGGGGTTGAATGGTCATTTGTTACACACTACTTCTTTCTCTACCACAATTCTTAACCCTGTCTGCCCAGAAACTCTTTAATAAATAGGTCAGAATCCCACAGGAATTCCCCCCCCCCCCCCCCCCCCAAATCTTTAAAAATTAACTCTCATTTGACACAGGTCTACATTTTAAAGCAAGAATCCAGGCAAGAGTATGTGTCTAACTTTATACGAAAACGCCGCTGGAACTATGTCGGCCACGCCCTTAGAATGGATAAATCAAGACTTCCTTACCAAGCCCTCATTTGGACACCACAGGGGAAAAGATCTCGTGGAAGACCAAGGGAAACCCTACGTAGAACTATCATCAGGGAAGGCTCGCTCATGGGCCACTCAAACATCCAAGACCTACAACGGATTGCAACGAACCGCCATGCATGGAGAGTCATGACCTCTGCCCTATGTGCGGCAGTCGACACAAGAGGAAAGACTAACTAACTAACTAACTAAATTTAAAAAAACATTTATTAGGGGAATAATGAATAAACGATGAACAGAGTGAAGCATTACATAGAATAAAATTCCAAAGGCCTAAATAAACATTTACTGGGTGACTCCTAGCACTAAGGCTATTGATAAAATATAACATCAAAATGGCTTTTAAAAAGTCATATTATTTACAAGAAAACCGTCTGAAATGCTCATTTTAGTAAATATTCTCACATCCAGTCACAAACTTTGAATATCTAGGTTCCAAACTAAACAGCAGTGAAAACTGTTCATCAGAAGTCAAAAAAGATGGCCATAGTAATTTCAAAATTAAACAGCGTTAAAAGTTTATAGTTAAGCAGCAGCAAAGTCAATATTTTCAGAGCATGCACCTTCAGTGTAGCAATCTTTCAGCAACGTTCTTCTACGTGATGAGGATATTCATATCCTGATCTTAGTTTGCGGCGTCTGATGCAAAAGAGTTAAGAATTAGTGCCAAACTAGATTCCTGATTTCATCAGCCATAGTTGTATAATGGCTGGACAGGCCTCGAGCAGGCAACCATGAAGTCCATACCAACTGACCGCCAAAGGCAGAGAGAGCTTATTAGACAGTTAATAGAAACTGGTGACCCAACAACACTAATTGTTACGGGATAAAGCCACCTGTTTTGGGGGGAGGGGGCGGTAATAAATTGAAGAAATGAAGGAAATAATTTTTGTCCCCAAAAAGTTACCAATCGGGCACGCATTTAATTTTTAAAATTATAAAGTTCCTCTGTATTTATAATTAATGGTACCTCATTTTGAACAGCTTTCAACTATTATAAGTTTTGTCAATCTGACAGTGGTGCCCTAGAGCTTCGCCTGATTTCCAAAGTCAGTACAAGATGATGGTGCAAGCAGTGCTTGAGAGGGATACAGACAGAACATACGGTGGACTTAAAAGGTAGTTAATTATTTGTCACTTAGTAATAAACTACAACAATTCTTTAACTGGTGCCTGTGCAGAATTGAGAGAATTATATGGTGTGATAGAATCACTGATATGGTGCTTTGGGAGAGATCTAAACAAGCAGAATCAAGAGGTGGTGGCGTGGCGATTTAGATCACAGGTGTGAGAGAAAGTTAAGGCCATTATGATATGTGTAAGGAATTACTCCATCCCTGACCAAGGGCACCAGCCAGCTCTTGGATGGTTGTATGGATACTCACACAAGACTCCTGCCGCACGTCCATGTCGTTTGCCATGGATAAGAGCTCACCTTTATGACCTGAAGTGAGTTGACTGAGGATCTTGTAGATGGTGGTCTCCAGAAATGTAGTGTCCAGTCTGGCTCACATCAGCCTACCCCCAATGCATGGGTGAAAACACCAATCAAAGCTCATTTTGAGTGGGAAGAGCTGCTGTACTGTTGAGATTCAGCCCTAAAACAAGAGAGGCAAAAATATCACAACTCTGCCATAAACAGGCACAACACATTAATGTCACTTGGACGAACGAAAATAAGAAGAATCAGGAGGTGAGGAAAAGAGGTGGCGTTGGATAGAACACTTGTTGAGACAACCTGATAACAATGTAACCGGAATGTTTTTGCATTGGAACCCACAATGTCAAAGAAATAAAGGCATGGAGAACAGAGCTAAGATTAACTACCTGCAATAGCAAAAGATAGAATATCTTAGTGTGAGTTAGTTGAGGACCAATTCTCCCCTGGGAAATAAAGGACAGAATAAGAAGCTGCATGCCGACCATCTTTACTTCCTAGGACTTTACCTGATACCCATTTCGAGGCTGTGATTGTGTGAGAAGGAAGGTAAATTTTATTTGTAAACTCCAACTCGGTGCAGATTTTTACTCAAGATATTTAGGTCAGCAGGTAAGCATATACCCACTACACCACCAGGGTTTGTTTTTAAAATTAAAGGACCCTTTTTTTTATATACATTAGTGGCACATAAGACTTATGATACCAGAGTCGTGTTTTTTTTTACAGACCAATCGGCACTCTGTTACCATCTTTACTTTCCAGTATATTTCCTGGCCCCCATTTTAGGATAGGTCAATCGGGGATATTGAAAAATATCTGGTTTGATGCAGATTCCAACCAAAAACCTTCGGCTGGCAGGCAGTGCACCTACCCACTACACTACTCTGCAATTCCTAAAGTATCAGTTTATGAAAATAATTGTATATCTGTATTGCTTTCAAAATTAAATTTGTGATCTGTCTTGTGGGAAAATTTTTCAGGTGCCATCGACCAAATGGGAAGATTTTGTGGCTGTGTGAAAAACATGAGAATTCTTCATTTTACAAAAACAGTGACAAATATCATGAAACTCAACAGCCACAAGATTCAGAAACTATTGCAGATGCAATGGGTGAAGGAGATACTGAAGTTGATAGCACAGACGGTGAGAATAAATTATTTCTGTGCCAATCAATTCAGACTCATTGATTACTCCTCACATTTTTGTTCTGTTGCAGACAGTTGTTAGATTGGATATAGAGTCTGAATGGTTAGTTAAGATCAGCAGTTCTCAGCCTGTGGGGGTCAAACAACCATTTTACAGGGATTGCCTAAGACCATAGGAAAACACATTCATTGAAGTTTATGACCTCGAAAATACCTTTATTGTTGGGGGTCACCATAACATGAAGGACTTGTTAAAGGGTCGCAGCATTAGGAAGGTTGAGAACTGCTGGTTTAGGTCCTTGGGTTGGGCTGAGTTTTGTTAAGAACTGACATTGCTGCACTCAGAATATTCCCATAAGTGCTCCATCCCATCTTCAGCAGCCAGTGAAAAGTTATAGTATTGATGGTACCAGTTGTAGTTTCATTAAATGTCATACCTTCTGTCATTTTAGATCCTAAGTCTGATATTTTTATTTAAATATATTATGGGAGCTTAGATCTTTAATTCCTTTGGTCCCATAAGGTTTTTCACAAAAATCGTTATTGTTTTAATTAAATATTGCCACAAAGATTCGAACCACTTGCTGTTTTGTAGGAATTAAAAATGAATCAAAGATACCACTGAGATTGCCAGATTTATTTAGTATATACTGATCAAAACTTAAATATAAGAAGACACTTGATGTGATGTTTGAGACATGCGGGGAATAGTCAGTAACACATAATTTTGGGGGGCTGAATGAGTCTAATAATGTTATAATAGTTATTTTAAATCACCAAGACCCAAGCATTGGCAGCTTTAAAGTTGAATTCATAAGGATAAGAAGAATTAAAGTAACACATTGCTAGTGCTAAAGGAGTTACCATTAATCCTTAATCCTTACATCTCCCAGAAAACTTTGATGAAGTAACTGAATGAAATGAAGAATAAGAAACATTAATTAGCTGGTGTCTGCTCAGAATTAAAAGACATTATGACAGAATTACTAATCAAAATACCCTGGACTTATCATTTACACAGATGAACTGCTAAAACTCTAGCAATAAACTTATATGGAAACAATCATGTGTTAACTAGTGCGATATTAAATTATCAAAAGTAATTGACAAACATTAACAAATATAAATATCCAGTATTGAAGTAGAAAAGATATTTCAGTATATATCCCAGAAGGGTAGAACAGGATATCACTGATTAAAATATTACTACTACTATTTGATCAATCAGTCAATTAGCATGTCCTTTGCAGAACATCGCTCTCTTCATGGCACACCTGAAAGTCTCTCTTTCTCTAGCTAATTCTCCAGCCTGTGTGCTTTCATAGCCAATACTCCTTGAATGTCCTGTATCCACCTTCTCGGAGATCAACCTCTGTGGAGAAAATATCCACAGGATGCTAACTACCTGGAACCTCTGAAACGAACCTTGTGACTCTGCTCGGAACATTTCAGTCTCCATCTTTCTCAAAATGCTCTGTGAGTTTTGAACTTTTAGAAGCCTGGGTACTTTTTTCAGCTTATCTGCTTCATCTTAACCATGATATTTATAACAGACAGTTCTTGTAAATAAATAACGGAAGAAAAACAAATTTACAAGAATAAAAAAAAAAAACAAGAATATCAATCAGTTTATATTGTAAATAATGTACATACAAGTATGTTGTTTTGGACAGAAATACCTCAAGAAGTCCCAGAAAATACTTCACAAATACCGGTTAAACTGGTGCAACCAACAGGACAGGTGCTGCCACGAAGACCAAAGCTGAATAGAGGGACCTCCAGCAGCCGCAAGCCTACAAGTCAAGCATGTAGTTTGATGTAAACAGTTGTGGTTAAAACAGCCATTTCTTTTGAGATTGTTTAAACAGTCTTTCATATTGGAGCTGTTAAAACAGCTGTTTGCACTGGGATTGTTTTCAGTCCCCAAATGTTTTACTTCAGCTCACTCAATCCTAACAGGTTGTTTCTTTAATAAGCCGCAAGCCTACAAGTCAAGCATATAGTATGATGTAAACAGTTATTGTTAAAAAAGTCGTTTGTATTGGAGCTGTTAAAACAGCTGTTTGCACTGGAATTGTTTTCAGTCCCCACAAGTGTTACTTTAACTCACTCAATCCTAACAGGTTGTTTCTTTAATAAGCCGCAAGCCTACAAGTCAAGCATATTAAAAAAAAAAAGTAAAGTTCCCCTTTTACGCCTTTCGGCGCATCGGGCATATGGGCAGAGCGTCCCATATTTTTACAGACCATCAGCACTCTGTTTGTAATGTGGTCAGCATTACGCCGGCTGTCTTTACTTTCCCAGGACAGCCCATCCTGGTACCCATTTTAGGCTGGGTCGACCTGCGACGTCCCATACCACGACAAAAATCCACGCAGCCTGCAGTGGGTTTCGATCGTGGTATGCTGGCTTACGAGTCGGACTCGCAACGCCTTAGCCACGGACGCCGCCAGTCAAGCATATAGTATGATGTAAACAGTTGTTGTTAAAAAAGTCTTTTGTATTGGAGCTGTTAAAACAGCTGTTTGCACTGGGATTGTTTTCAGTCCCCAAAAGTGTTACTTTAGCTCACTCAATCCTAACAGGTTGTTTCTTTAATAAATGTTTGAATCAGAAAGGGGTAAAATAACTGCTCTGTGATGATGATGATGATGATGCTGATGGAAGTGCTGGAGTTAAATAAGAGTTCAAGCAGAGTTTGATAATGTAGCAGCTAAATGCGTCAAAGAAAAGTTTTTTTTTTTAAATGTAGTGTATAGTTGAAATTAACAAATGTGTAGTATTTGCTTGGTACCAAATGAGTTAAAATAGCCACTTGTAGAAGGCATGTTAATAAGGTATTTGTTTTGATACTGTTAATACAGACATTATGAAGAACTGTTAAGACATTTGTATTGGAGCTGTTAAAACAGCCATTTTTGTATTGGAGCTGTTAAAACAGCCATTTGTATTGAAGCTGTTTAAATAGCCATTTATATTGTAGTTGTTAAAACAGTCTTTTGTATTGGAGCTGTTAAAACAACCATTTGTATTGGAGATGTTAAAACAGCCATTTTACTAAATAAGCTCAAAGATCTAAATAGCTATACGTCTAGCTGTAGTAATTTATTGTTTAAGCCAGTGTTACAGTTACCCTTTTACCTTTCAACAGCAACAATCATGACCTTACGACTTGGCATGAGTTGGTTGATGGCCTATGATCCATTGAGGGAATAGAAGGCAGAAGAAGGAGAAAAGAAAATCATGACCATATTTTGAACCATTGCTTAAATTTTAGTTTGGGTTTTTTACAAGACTGATGAAGAAAGTCTGGCCAAACCAGTCCACAAGCAGCGCAGCTTCAGTGCGTCCTTGGCATTGCTAGAGATTACCGCTATCTCTCATCTTGTTTTGCTACCACTTTTCTTTTGTTTTTAAACAATTATTTTACGTACCAGTGCCAAATAGGGTCACTCATAAAAATACCATAAAAGAAGATCAGTAACCACATAACTGGTCTGATGACCAAAAGAAATACATTCAGAAATGCAAAAGATTACACAAAATGATTATTACAGCTATTTAAAAAGTATTCAAAATAATGTTTTCCGATAATGAATCTAAATAATGATAACACAAACAATACATTGCACAATTTATTGCCAAGCATATTTCGCTGTATCTCGTCAGGTGCCTTACTACAGAATTACATCAACATAAAATGGAGCACAAAACTGAATAAATGCAACTGAAACGTGAATAGTCTCTTTCGATGCATCTTGTTTTGTCTAGTCACCGGCACTGGCCGGAAGTTCGCCGTAGTCACACAGGTCAAGGTGTACATGAGGGTATCGGCAGGCATTAAGCATCCACTGTACAAAGCTTTACATGGTAAAGTCGGGAGATGTGAACCAACGTCATTGCACACGGTTTTAAACCATAAGTTCTCTGCCACCAGTACGGACAGCTGTTAAGAAACTGTCCACCTGTGTCGCCGTCCGCACGCAACTCTGTAGCTACAACAACGTTCCTCCATTTACCCAGAGTTTTAGCTCTGGTACCCATTACCTAGAGGTTGGGTGAACCCTGGAAACCGCTCAGTTTTGATCAACAGCCGTGGGCTGCAGGGAGTCGAAGCTGTAATTGAAAGCAAGTCTCCTATCAACTGTGCTAACCTGGCCCTCATATGCATGACAGTGCTTTCCATGTGGTTCGTCACACACCAAACATGTGACTGCTGAAAATGATACAGCTAATCACTATACAAAAAGAATGCGTCTCAAAAGAGGCCACTCCTGGATGGCCAAGGCTAAAGATTTATTCCAGCAGGTATGCGACCTAGATAAGATCAGTCACGGAAAAGAATAGACGAATTCACCAGTAGACTTGTCTAAGGTTGTCATCACACTGGAAAGGTACTGCAGGAATCAGATTCCTGCGGCCATAGACACAGACTAAGGGCACTGATAGATCAGCATTCACAACCAAAAGACATCAAGATTGATCCGTGAAGTGCGGATCAAGGTCAGCATAGGCATACACAGTAAAACTATGGGGAAAACAATAAGGGATGACAGCGGCACTTAGGAGGCAACCACATCAAGCATGACCATAGAGATAGTCGCTGCTTCTAGAGCAGTAGCATGGGCATCAGAGCAAACCGCCACACAGGCAGTAACTGTATCAGACTCCATGAACATGCTTCAGAAGATAGCAACAGACAGTATGCGCTCTGAATGGGTAGAAATCATTTGAAAATTGCATTTCACCTCACTTACCTGGATCTACACACCTGGTCATGATGGCGTAAAGGATAACGAACGAGCGGACCAACTGGCAAGCAATGCACCGCCTGTTGGAAGAAGCATGGACAGAGCAGATATCATCAACACTGTACGGACTCGGCTAATGGATAATGATGAATCTCTGACACTAACATGATTGCATGACATTGGAGTAAAGCACGTATGTGCCCCCCATCGAGGCCAAGATTGGAGACATTATAACCAACTTCTCATA